AGGAGTAAACCTGCACGTAAAAATCCGTGTGATGCTGGCGACTCACTGTATTTCTATCGCCAAGGGACTCGCTGGCATATTGCCCAATGCGACAAGCCAGTGGAGCGAGTTTAACCAGTAATGGTGAGGATTCTTAAAAAAAGAAAAAGTCCACGTTGCTATTCTTACGAAGGAATAGCTCAATAACGGAGCCTGGAAATGGGCAAATATGGAAGGCAAAAATAAAAAATAAGAAGTTTTCTTCCAAAATTTTATATTGAAGTTTTTTCTTAATTTTTTTAAAATTAATCACTGTTATTTTTATATCAAAAATATGCATTATTTAAAAGAACGTCTATTAGTATTTATTACTGGCCTAATGTAATACGAAAGGACGAAACGAATCACTTTTCTTTTGTGGAATAAAGAAAACGATTCAATATTCTAGACGAGTGGCTTTCAATGAAACGCCATATGGCCAGGTGAAAGGCCGTAGAACATTTCTACTAGAGAGCCAGAGAAAAAATATGAATAAAGGCACCGAAACTGCTAAAGAGCCAATTCGAAATATAATATTTTCTAATTATTTATTCATTTAAATTTAATAATTTATTTTTTAATTTGAAAAATTAATTCTAAATGTCACATAAAAGTGCTAAATCCCGTAATGAGGAAGAGGAAGAGAGGAAGGAAGGGAGAGAGAAAATGCCTATAAAAATGTTTATAATATATAAAATCTTGGCCAAATGTGATTTCGTCCTGAATTTGATTCCTAATGGTTAACCACTATGATAGCAAAACCTGGTTCATGGTTCCACACATAAAAGTGCTAAATCCCGTAACGAGGAAGAGGAAGAGAGGAAGGAAGGGAGAGAGAAAATGCCTATAAAAATGTTTATAACATATAATATATAAAATCTTGGCCAAATGTGATTTCATCCTGAATTTGATTCCTAATGGTTAACCACTATGATAGCAAAACCTGGTTCATGGTTCCATACATAAGGATTCTCGTTCTTGAAAAATACTTTTCTCCTTTTCACTAGGAATTTACGGTTCGCGCACCATAGGGCCTTCAGATTTTACCTACAAGTCATCTTTACAATCTAATAAAATATACAAAAGCGCGGTCCTACGACGCTTTTCTGTATCTCTCATTGGTATACTGTAGTTCTTAGCTTTGGCGTTATTCTTACTAATTATTCGGTCGGATGAGTGGCAAATATTTAAGTTTGGCTTGTCGAATATAATTTTTTGCTAATCAGAAAACGATTCGAAAATGGCAGAGAATGATGGTCAGCCGTTCGACATAAATTTGCCGCCCGCTCATCAATATTTACATCTTAGAGGTTTTCGTTTCATATTTTTTAAAATTTCTTACTTATTTTATTTATTTATTTGTAAGAAAACCAAGCAGAACAGAGAGAAAAAAACATTTATAAGGTAAAGTAGTGATAAGAAATAAAAACATGACAGATATGTAAGATAAGGGAGTGATAAGAAATGAAAAACGCATATCTTTGATAAGGTGAGAATCTAATGGAAAAGCAAATGAAAAAAAAAAAATTCCGCATAGCAATAAAACAAATCAGATAATGCAATAAATTAATTTTACAATGTGAGCTGTGGCGAACGATTGAAATTTTGAGTTTTAATAACATTTAAAACTGGAGGCGAACTAAGCAAAAACAATTATTAAGTAACTTATTAGAATAAATTGATTAATTAATTATTTTTGTAATATTAATTATTAATCAATTAATTAATTATTATAATAATTGCAACAATTATAATTAATTATTATAATTATTTTTACTGTTTTAATTATTATTAATTATTAATTTTTTACAATTTTTTATAACTTCAATACAAATTTTTTATCCTAAAATGTGGTAATTTTTTAAAAAAATTTTTCCAAATTTTTTAAATATTTTGAATTTGTTTTTCATATAATTAGAAATAAATATTAGTAATAAAAGTTATAAATATAATGCAAAAAAAATTCGATAAAAATTCTGAAAAAGAAAAAAAAATGAAATTTATAGAAGAAAATTTATTGACAAATGCTGACAAATATGAAGATGCCAATGTTATCATTAATGTTTCATTCTTGGATTTATCGATTGTTTTATTGCCAACACAAAAATTTCCATATTTTACGCAAGCACCTTTGCAAATATCGCAATTCCGTGAAGCTGCAAATAGCAATTCGCTGATTGCACTTCAACCAATTGTACGAGAACGAACAACGAATATTGCAACACTTATACAGGTTTTTTATTTTTATAGTTTTCAAGATAGGTAAAGCTCTTATTATGCCAAATACTTTCTGTTTGATCTTGATTGTAGAATATTTTTACTTTTCGATTTTTTCAAGGTCTCTTCCTTCTTAATAAGGGTAAATATAGTTTTAATTCTGCTTGTAATTTTTATTTTTACTAGAAATGTGTTTTTAATTGAACTTGTTGAGATAAGCAAATTCGAAGAACTCAATGATGGTGTAATTATCGAAGCAGTTGGTCGACAACGGTGCAAGGTTATCAACAGAACCAGAGCTATTAACGGGTTCGTTTTCCCTATTTCGTCATTAATTTCAGATTATTCGTTTACTATTTATGTCGTTGATATTTTAATCAGGGATAGAATGGTTCAATGAATTGTTGCTGTTCTTTCGGAATGCAGTTCTATCCCCGGCGACAATAAACCTGTCTTTTGAAAATACGGATAGTACTGGCGAACTACCTACATTTTTTCTTATTTTTCCGAAGGACAAGCAGAGAAAGTTTAACTTCAAATCGCTTTATCATTTTAAATGTTTTTTTATAGATGAAGTTTACTTTTTTTCACTGCTACTCATTAATCGATAATCAAGTTTCTTTCAAATTTAGCATGCCATACGGCTCTGTATTAGTGCTAGAAGATCGGGAACTGCTGCCATTCAGCCAATTATTTGTGCCTTCTTCCTGTACTCGATTACCGCCAAAAGAGGTACAGTTGTGATTATTATAGATAATGAATTAATTATTGGAATTGAGTGGTATAGTGGGAAAGAAATCTTTCTCCAGTAGATTATTATTATTCCTTCTGCAAATATTTTGATATGAAGAAATATTTATCCATTGATGCTTCTCGAAGATGTATTGATTACCACTCATCCCAATTTAAGATGTGCGCTTTCCAGATTTATTTACAAATATAATGTTCTAATACATTTTCTGTTCGATTTTTTATTATTGCAATGAAAAAAAATTTTGGTGGAGATGTTAAAGCTTGCATTATTGGTGTGTGGTTCCCTTGTTTAGGCGATTTTCAGGCGCTTCGTTGTTTTTGTGCAATGACGCCTCATTCGCAGTTGGCGGTTGGAAATTGCTTGACGGTAAATATTTGCTTATTTAAGTAAATTGATTTCAAATTGAATTGAATAATGATAAAATAATTTTTTTATTCTTCTTTTGTAGTATTTTTATCCTTTTTCTCTTATAAATTATATTTTATTAAAGGAAACGATTGTAAAGCGGCTAACAGAAATAATTAAAAATTGGACCAGTGATGATCAGATAAACAGAGCTCGTGATCAGGTAATCTTATCATTTATCATTAAAGTCATCGTTATCTCATTCCAATGATTTAAAAATAATATCTAATATCTAATAATATTTTGCTTTTTGTAGGGGTTGATACCTTTTAGCTATTGGATCGCATCAAATTTTCCAATCGATCTTGAAAGAAGACTCCTACTTTTGGAGGAATCATCAGCAAATCGGCGCTTATCTTTACTGTGGTCAATGGTTAAAAATGTATGTTATTATTTGTTCGAATTTAATTATTAGTTTTTAATCATATAGATTGGTTGAACTGAAAGATATATGAAATTGTTCTGCTTATAATTTTCATCTTCCTATTAATTAGTAAAACTTTTTTAAAAATCAATTAAAATCAATCAACTTGTTTCAAACTTTTCCAAATATCGAAGAGAAAGAAAGATCAAAACTGATTGAAACTGAAGATGGCTTGTCTCAATTTAATTTCAAGAATTATTAAACTGATTCCTGTGACGAATTTGGTTGTAGATGCCTTATAGATTAACTTACATACGAAAAGGGAAATTTTGAAATCATCTTTTATAATTTTATAACTTTAATATAATTTATTTTAGTTCAATTATATCTCGTGTAAGGCATGTTCGACGCCACTTGCCAGCACTTCCGATCTTATTAATTTATCATCGGAAGGCAATAGTGCTCATTATGTCAATCCAGGTGATTATTTTATTTGTGCACTAGTTTTTCCAAAAACATATTGATAAAAAACCATTTCTTAAAAATTGTTGAGCTCTGTTGAGGTTATTCATATGATTCATTTTATGAGGTTATCTTAGTGTAAGTAACATATCGCTTGAAATATTAATCTCTTTAACACAGAAGATATAAATTTTTGCAGGGGGCTATGTACATGATTTGCTTACGGTGTCATCCGTAACTCGAACCGTCCCAGAAGGTCGCCCGTCTTCTGCATTTAGCTGGTTCCCTGGGTAAATATTCTTATGCTTTTTTTTATTTATTCGTTTCCTCTATCTATTTTTTCTGCTTTTATAATTCGTATAATCAGTCGTTTAGGATTTTTTTAAAAATTACGTTCCCTATTTTGGAGAATAATTAAAATTTTTTCTTTTATAGGTTCTTAATTTATTATTTTTGTCATAATTTTTTGAGATCTTAGATATCAGTGGACGACTCATAGATGCGATTCATGTATGGAACATATTGGATGGGAATTCACTAGTAATGAATTGCTACCACGTAGATTTTTTGGATTAACTCGCGGATCAATCAGAGTGGATTATGCCAGTCCGTCACCAGCTTAAATATCGTTTGAAAAATATGATTCGATAAATTCGATCAAATGCTGTATACAACTGGGCGAGTTAAAAGCATTAGTCCAGGATAAATGATTAGGATTATTTGTTTTTCGGCAATTGAGGTTTAGAACGATATACGATATTATCGCATGTGTGACCACATTTCGTTCCCCGATTTATGCAAAGGAGAAAAATATTTTTTACCGCTTTGGTTGGATTGATTTTTTGAAGGCAAATTGGACTGTTTATTTTGTGATAATTGCCCAATTCGATAAGCAAGAAAAAGTTTTATTATCACTCTTCATATTAACAACATATTTAGATAATTAAATCATCAGTAAAATAAATTTGTATAATATAGACGAAGGTTCAGCTCCTGCTGCCAGCAGGAATAAATATGCTTTAAAAAATTCGGATGGTGCTGTCGAGCCATCTGTATTAGTTGACAACAATCTCAAATGATACATATTAGCAGCAAGTGAAACTATCCCAGCCAGTAATGGTGAGCGCTAACTCTTTTAAATGTCTAAAATTATAAAAAATTAATTATAAAAAGTTATTAAGTTATTTATAAAATAATGTGATATTCCTTACCCTCCCTCTTCATTTTTTCATGCCTGCCATTCTCAGTTGCAGTTTGAGGGTGTGACTATTGAATCTTTTATGGAAATGAGTTGGCATACTATCAATTAAAACTTGGGAAATTCTGGAGGGATGGACCTTCAAGTTTAATAAAAGATGGAAAATTGAACAGAAGTTATACATATTTTGTTTAAGAAGGATTTGTATATATTGCAATTTTTCTTTAAAATCTTAAACTTTCCGGATCATCCAACAAAAAATTGGTTAATGAAATATGAAGGTGAGGTGATATTCGGATTTTATATGCCGCTTAACCGTTTTTATTGCTTAAAAACAATAAACCATATTTGTATGCAAAGATATTTTAGATTAAATTTTTTTCATTATTTCAATTTTTAAATTTCTTTTATTTTTGAATTTATTTTTGGGTTGAAAATTCGTTTCATTTCTTAATTTTAAGATTTTTATTACATAAAAATTTTCATCAGATGAAAAGCCATACATAATGTTAAATTTCCTTGTTTTGAATCGTCGAGTCTGTTCGATCTATTGGTTAGAAATAGCCTTTAGGAATAGAATTTTATCTCATTGTTAATAATTTGTTAATTTTCGTTTGTACCAACTGCAAATCTCTCGTATACTAAATGTAGAATTTTTTTTTGCTTGCTTCGATTAATAAATTTAAAAGAAAAATTTCAAAACTTTATATGAGTGTAAAGTTGCCCTTGTTCCAAGCCTTTATAAAAAGGAAATTTACAGGCTGAATCTACTTTTTAAAAATCGGAAAAAAGATGGGCTTTTACGAGTTAAGAATGAACAAAATCAAGACAAGCGCAGTTTCGAAGTAAGCTTAGAATGGAATTTTTCAACTGCACTAAAGGATGACTAACTGAATGTAAAATATTATGCATTTTGGCATTTAGACGAGTATTTCACGCAAAATAATTGAAAGGACATTGTATTAGAAATCGGATTATTTTTGCTTGAAATAAATGTGAATTAACTAATTAAGGAAAATAAAGAAATGGCCTTGTGTAGTGCATCGAAGTGAGTTTTATGATTTATTACTAGTTTTCGATATAAAATTTATTACGTATAAAAAGTGGGTAAAAGTTGTAATCTCGACGCATTTCTATATTTTCACTGAATTTTCATAGAAAAATTAGAAAATTTTGAGAAAATTATAAATATTTAGCTATTTTATTGATGAAAAGCGGCAGAAATTGTACACAATTTGACGTTTTGAAATTCGCTACGAACTATATTCGATTAAATTAAAAAAGCTTTTGAAAAATTCCTCAATTTTTTCTTCGTGATTCAGTGAAATATTAGCAATTTCGGAATTATTGCGGTTCGTTAATTGTGGACCCTTTTTATGGTTAAGTTTTATCGAAAAAAGTGTCATGCTTTAAACCATTTTTAAATTCTGTTCTATGTGAAATAAAGAAGATAATTTTGAATTAAGAATTTCGTGAGTTTTTTTCTTTTTTAATAAAATTTTTTTGCTTAAAGAAACCTCAAATTCGAGCTAAGTTTTTCGCTTATTTTTACTTGTCATGAAAATTTTTGATTGTTAAATTGTTAATTAATTTCTCTCAAAAAGTTTTTTTTCATTAATTGCTTTTTCGTCCCGAAGCGACTATTTGCGACTATTTATATTTACATTAATCTAAGCAATCAATTGAAAGTAAAGAAATGATTAGCAGTTACCATTTTTCATTGTTTTGGATCCATTGGCTGCTAATAAGAAGAAAAATTTTACCTGAAAATCGCTTCACAGGAACCGAAGTGAAGTTGGATGATTACTCCCGAATTTTTCTTTTTTTTTTCAGGTTTTCTTCTGGTATTCTGGTTAATTATCTGGTTTTTCATACAATTATTAATAATTAAACTGTTAGAAAAATAGCTAAAAATCTGAATTTACTGAATTGGCTGTCAAAAATACAATAAATAGTTAAACGATTCGTAGATCTGAAATTGGTTATTATCAACAAATTATTTATCAATTCTTCGCTAAAATTGATCCGATAAATTTCAAAGTATATTTCCAATTTTCTAATCCACGAAATAATAAAATATTTTTATGATTTTTTTGCATAAACTAAAAATTACTACAATTATAATAGTAAAAATAAATTACTTTCAAGTCATAGAAAATATATTGAGAATGTTTGATTTGACTGCTATTTTAGCTTAATTCTAGCAATTTGAAATTAATAATTTAAAATTAACTGATCAACAACTGATTGCTGATAATAAATTGATAATAAAATTTTATTTCGTTTAAATATGGCAATTACCGAGTATGACAAGCAAAACCAACTTATTTTCTTATTTATTCACCTGTTTATTTCCTAATCTTCGACAATTATATTTTATATTATAAACAATTGTATTATAAAAATTATTTTTTAAAATATAAATGAAAAATTAAGCAATTCTAAATTCTTTCTTTATTCTTTTTTCCCAAATTTATTACCGAAAAATTAGAGAGAATGATTTTCATTTATGCGAGAAATATTTAAACTCATTTATAAATTGCCAGGTTTGTTTTCCATGCGCTTTGGTAAATAAAATTATAATATTCATCGCTAATTGATTCCAATAAGGTTTCCTCTCTTCATTTCCTCTCTTCATTTCCTCTCTTCGTCGGACATTATAGGCTACGATCGCGCAGTCTATAGCGAATGCATTAGTGATGGAGCTTCGAGAGCTTTCATCCATTTACCGCAATCTGTTTCTCACGCTCGTTACGTTCCTATTGAAAGATTTCAGTTTCGACGATTTTTCATCGACTCTCGCTTATGTCAACAAATAAGAGGTCTTATTTGAAGGAAGGCTTGTTTTTGGCTTTATTTTTGTTTTGCATCGATGTTTATGAAAATTTAAAAAAACAACTGTTTTAGCATAATAGCTAGTAGAATTGAAAGAATAATTCTTTTTTTTTCGCTGGAATTATCAAATGTGCGTTTTGATCACTTATGATTTATCACTACTTGTGATAACATCACTATTTGTATTCTCTAATTTCAAATCTCAAATAGTTTCGTATATTAAAAGAATAAAATAATTCTTTTTTTTTCGCTAAAATTATCAATGTGCGTTTTATCACTTATGATTTATCACTTATAATTTATCACTACTTGTGATCTCTAATTACTTGTATTCTCTAATTTCAAATCTCAAATAGTTTCGTATAATTTCTTTCGTAGAAACTTTTCGTGCCAATTTCTCCACTTTTAGCTCATTCATAGCGGAAAAAATTCATCATTTTCATGTTATAGAAAAAAATCGGAAATTTTCTGAATGGGCCAATAATTTCCTTTGGAAATTCGATGGATTTCTCTCGTTTTTTTATTTCCTAATTTACTCTAAAAATTGCATTTTTATTGTAATTTCATAGTTCTTTGCCGCATTAAGAAAGTGAAAAACACTCGAAAGGTCGTCGAATAAACCGAATATACCGAAATGAACTCATAAGCGAAGGTCGTACGAATGCTATTCAGAATGGATGGCGAAAAAAATTGTGAAATATTGCTTAGATTAGGATAAACGAAGATCGAAAAAACGGTTCGACTCAACGACGAACACTTCTAATTTTCTTAATAATTCCATAGATAAAAAATTTTTTGCCATTTTGCCTTAAAAAAATTTTTACTTTGCTAAAATTTTTAAACAATCTTAAATAATTGTTTATCAATTTATCAATTAATCAGTTTTTTCTTAAAGAATTTCGGTTTTTCGTTTTTTTATTCGATTATTATCTTCGTGACGCGAAATCTGTTTTCTCTCTAATTATGATTATTCGTTTATCAAAAAAAATTTATATTTTTTTATGATATCCTTGACCTGAACTCCTTCCGAAATAGTCCATTTATTATCATTGAATAGTTCGCTGTTGGATAGAAATTCTACCGTAATCCGCTGTGGAGATGTTACATTTGTTCGATCTTGAGAAAAATGATAAAAGATTTACAAGTCTTATGATAAGGATAACTGATAAAAAGTAAGGTTTAGGAAAAAATTTATCTTCAATTCTTTCATTTAATTGGATTTATTTTCTCTTAAAAACGCGTTGCATATTTCGTCACAGTATGGAAAGAAGTTTGCAAAAATGGTAACGAGTCTTAATAATATAAGTCGAATGTGACCGTTTATTGCTAATGCATCAAGTCTATATTCTACCAGCGCGCGTCGCGTTGTTTTTATTAAACTACGTTATATTTTAAATTTTTAATGTTTCTATTTTTATTTCAAAATTTCCTATTCGAATCTTTTATTATTATTTATATATTTAATTGAGTAAACTCTTTAAATTTTTTTATTCGTTTTTAAATTTAATTAAAAATAATTAAATTTAAAATTAATTTAAAATTTAATCAAAAATAATTAAATTTAAGATTAAACAATTTGTAATAATTAAATTTGAAAATAATTAACTCGAAAATAGCACTGAAAAATTTTTGCAAAATTCTTTAAATTTTTTTTCTCGATTCGTTTTTTTTCCATTTTCATTTTCTCCTAAAACTAGTCGGTAAAACTAGAAATAATTTATCGTTGGAATTCATTCATTCAGCTGTTTTTTTTATAGTTTTATTTCTATGTGAATTTTTATTTTCTATTAAAATGTTAATTTTTCGAAAAGTTCGCAACTTTTTTCAGTTCATCGTTAATTTTCGATCGAAAAATATTTCATTAATTCCATTTTCTGTTTTTATTTAGCATTTTTTCATTTTATTTTTTTTATTTTTGTTTTATTTATTTTTGTTTTCCTAAGTATTGAATATTTTTATTTCAGTTGTTGTCGATTTAGTTGTTTTTATTTTTATAATTTTTAACTTTTTTTGATTTTTACATTGTTTCTTCGTTATTTTTAGATATTTTTGTTATTTTTTATTTAATTAATTTCATAGCGCTGTCGACATTTTTATAGAAATAAATTATTAGTCTACTTTTCTTTTGTCTTCGTCAATTTTTTTTATCATTGCTGTTGATAAAGACTGATTGATAATTTTTTAAAATTATTTTTTTAAAATGCTTTTAAATCTATTATTGTTGTAAATCGTTTTACCGACCAGAATTACATTGATGCTCTGTAAATTATTCTTCGGCACTTGAATTCGGTGTATTGGCGCTTAATTTCCTCGGTGATAGCGAAAGTTTGCTATTGATTTTATGGCCTATTTTTGTATGCTTACGTTCCCTAATTTATTTTTATCAATTAGCAGTGGAGCCAAAATGTCGATTAAATTACTCTGTTTAATAATATTTAATATAGGTCGGTGGTTTGATAGCTGGCAGTATTTCTATTTATAGATTATTAAGAAAATTGCTTTCTTGCTGAATTACTTTGAATATTTTTGTTGTTTTTTCGTCATCTCATCAATAAAATGGATATGAATTTTATTAAATATTCAAGTTTAATAAAATTTTAATGGTTTGCTCGATAATTTTATTGTTTTTAATAGCTATTATTATTGTTTTTAATAATTATTTAATAATTATTTCTTTAATTTTTCTTATTTTTATTATTTATTTTGAATGATTTGTTATTTATTTACTTATTTTTTCTTTGATATTCAATAATCTTTTAATTAATTAATTAATTAATTTGATTAGATCATCCTAAAAATTTTTGCCGTTTTTTATCGTTGAAATTAGTAGCATACGTTTCCCAAAATATATATTTCTTTTGTCCTTTTATTATATTTGCATAAAAGTCCTAGTTTCTTGAATCAGTTTCCAGATACTGCTGGAAGTTGGTTTTGAGATACTTCTATATCGAAGTATAGAGGGTATCGAAGGTTTTGAGATATCGAAAATGGTTCGGAAAATTGTCGAGAAAATGAGAAAAGTCAGTCTTTTGGGGAAAAATATAGTGAATATGGTGTATGGGAAAGGATTTCGATATTCATTTCGGCAAAGAAATCCTTACGATATTTGGCCTAGCATTATCATGCAGTGATTGATCATTTTTGTTGCTCGCTGATACTGTTTGTCATTTTTAGTGAATTATTTCCAATCCTTTGCTCGACGATTCTGCACTTTTAAAAAGCTAAATGGTTCTGCAGCAGACCGAATAGTGGGCATAATATTCTTCGAATGAGATCAGGAATAAGATGAATGTTGATTATAAGGCCTCATCTTTGTACCTTTTCGCTGATCTTTTTCTGTTATTAACAGCGAATAGGTGGTCTGCAAATGTTTTTAGTCTCATGCTCAGTCAATTCGTAGAATATCCGCTAGTGCATGCAGATGATCTTACACATATTATTTAGAAACTCCAGACTCTTGTGCTAAATTTTTACAATCCCCTAGGATCAGTTTCCTCGTTCCTTAACTGATCCACCTATAGAATATGAGGGTCATCCACAACATGAGGCATCTTCGGGATCTTTATATCCGAGACTGAACTTCACGAATCTTATGTTGTTTTTTGTTTAGATCGTCGCCAAAAGTTGTTTATGTATTTAAGTTGTTTAAGTTGTTTATGTAGTTAAAAGTTGTTTATGATCTACCTCTGGTAAATAGAAAAAGTATATTGTAAAAAAATATTTTCAAGATAACCTTGTTCATTTCTTTATTAGGCATAATTCACGAATATAATTACATAATTTTATATGATATAATGATATAATTTTATATAATTATATAATAATATAACTTTTTTTATAGGTTTAGGTTTTTTTGAGTGATTAATTCGAAACTATAGAATATATTTTCATCTGCAAATTGTATGATTAAATTTCTATAGTTCTAAAATTGGTTTAATTTTTCTATAGTGCCTTTTAGATGGACGATTTAAGAAGTAAGGATTTAAAAAAATTTTTTTCTTTATTTGAATAATTTTAGAGAAAAAAGTCACAAACTGGGAATATTTTGAGATTTTAGTAAATATTTGTATAGTTTAATTGTTCACAGTTGTGGAACGCCAATTTTTTTAGTTGTAGGAATTTCAATGAATTTTTTTTAATGAGAATGGTTTCGTATCGCTGTTTTTCGAGTAAATTTTAGTAGTCTTTAGAACAAGGAATCTCTATTTATTTACAAAATTTTGGATGTTTTTTCATTTGGTTATTCTTTCCTTAACGTTGATTAATGAAGTTGCGTTGTCGATCGCAGTTCAGATTTTTAGTGCAGAATTTTGCTTCTTTGAGATTCTAATTGTTCAATGATTTTTTTTTCTTTAGGAATTTTCAGATGTTCATTTATGGTTTATGATGAACGAATATTTATATTGCAAGAAATTATTTATCGTTTAGTTTATATTCACTGCCGTTAATTTATTGCGAAATAGGTGATGATTTTATTATGATGGAAGATTATCGTGATGGATGTCGTAAGGCTGAAGATATTTTGCATGTTTTGCGCGATCGTGTCGCGCAATTGCCGGGCACAAGAGATAGAAAAGGAAGGCCGGTTATTGTGTTTCCAGCTCGCGAAAGTTCGTCATCGATGAATCCTGATCATATTCGAAATATTTTGCTATATCTGCATGCTGTTACTGCGTAAGAATTTTTTTTTTTTTGAGAATTCGAAAGCTATATTTTCTACATGAAATTAATTCTCATAAAATTTTTCAAAAATGCATCATTGGCTATAAATTTACTTTCCTAAACTGTGATTATGAAACATAATATTGCATGATAGAATGGCTCAGTGAGTTGTTGCTCGTTTAGGAGCACCGATGCTGATGTCCGATTTTCCGCAGGTGTAAACCTGTATTAAAATTCGGGTGATGCTGGCAGGGCAACTCACCTGTATTTTTGTCGCCAAGGGACTCCTTGGCATATTTGTTCAGTGCACAAGTCAGTGGAGCAAGTTTAACCAGCAATGGTGAGGAATCTTAAAAAAAAAAAAGAAAATTATAAAAATACAAACTTAAAACCTAAGGAATATTTTAATTTTTAGAGACGATTTCAAAGGAAATGGATTTGTTATTATCATTGATATGCGAAAAGGCACAACATGGAGTAACGTGAAACCGATTCTTAAAGCGATTCAGGTAATACTTAATAGAATATTTCAATACATATTTTTCATACAAATACATTCATTTAGGAACATTTTCCGGCTATTGTTCACATTTCCTTAATTATAAAGCCGGATAATTTTTGGGAGAAGCATAAAACATCGGTTTCAACTGGCAAGTATAAATTCGAAGTACAGATGATTTCCGTCGAAGGTCTTACTCGTTTTATTGAACCTGCTCAACTAACCAGAGATTTAGGTGGAACATTGTACTATGATCATGACGAATGGCTGGAAATCAGATTGGTAAATTTTATTCTTCATAGGTTTTTAAGATGTTTACTGAGGTAATAGTGGAATATGAAAAAAAAATTCCGCCGAATTTCTCTTTTTTTTATAGGTTATTTGGGAAAGAACTAGTCTTTGAGGTGAGTTAAAATGTAAAATGAATTGTTTTTAGGAACTGGAAAAATTAATCTGGCAGATAATTGATGTCATGCGTAATTTCGAAGTTTTTCGTAATGAAATGAAAAATGGTGAATTACCGGTCGATGTAATAACAGCGGAACGAGCGACTGCAGCTCACGCCAATTTAAAGAAAAAAATTTTAAGTGCTCCAATCGATTATCTTCAAGATGAAGCTCATCGGGTTATTACAACGCTTATTGTTTATTACAACATTCAGTAGAATTCTAATAGGACGTCATTAGTTTGTGCTTTAATAGTTTTTGTGATAAATGAGGAATCAACGATCAGATGAAATAAAAAATAATATTGAAAAATAATTAAAGATTCAAAAAAAATTACTTGAAGGATTTTAAATTCCTAATAAATTTCTTACAGAAAAGATAATTTGTTCATATCATTGAAAATTTCAAAATTTCTTCAATTTGAAAAATTTCATTTATTTGTTAGATTCGCCAGCGGATATGTGGATCTGGTGGAAATTCTAATGATGATGGATATAGTTCCTATAGTAATGTGCCTTCAGCTAATCCTGACCTCGCAGCTGCGCTTCCTCATCTTTCTTCTCTCGTTGAGTCTTTAAGGAGTTCCAAGTAATCTTTTATCAAAAAAAATTTTAATTAAATTAAGTCATGTTTAAATTCAAATTTTTTTACTGGAAGCTATTATAGAGACGATTTGTTTTTGCAATGGGAATTGCATAGGCAGAAGCTTGATCACTGTTATCAACTTAAGCTGTTCGAACAAGATGCAGAAAAAGTAAGTCTTATTTGCATTGTATCTTTATTTCTTGTTTCAAGTTTTATGCATAATTGGTGAATAAAAGGGAATTATCATCTAGATGTTTGATTGGATACGCAGTCATTATACTTTGGCCACCCAAAGGCTTTTTGAGATTGGCGATTCTGAGCAGTCGGTTGCAGTTATGATCGCTGAACAACTCGAATTCGCAAAAGCTGCAAATGTTTGTTTTTTGAATTTTTTCTTCTATAATTAATTAATTCTACGATTAACTATGTTAAATTCATTTGAAGAATACCGAAGTTAATGTGTCTCATGTAATGACTGTGGCAAAGCGATTGCGTGATATCGGTAATTATGGTAAAGTACAAATTGAAAATGTCGCTATGAGATTGGACGATGAATGGCATCGCTTCAAACAAACAGTTGATCAGAGAACTCAACTACTTGATCTTTCATTGTCTTTTCATCGGAAAAGCCACTTTGTACGTAATTAAAAGAATTGTTCATTAATTTTTCCTAATAATTTTTTTTCAACGTAATAATTTCCCACGTAATTTGGTAATAATTCATAATAATATAGTTCATAATAGTTCATAATATAGTTCATAATAATTCCTAATGATTAATTATTTAAACATTTAAGTATCTTTCAAATTTGCCCTCTTGGCTACGCAAGAATAGCATGGAATCGGGCAATCGATTATCAAATCGTATGGGCGAAGAATTGGAAGCTGCGATTGCCGAGCACGAACGTTTTGGCGAAATGTTTTTGCAGGCTTATGCCGAAGTATTTCCATCTGTTTAATTCTTAAAGTTTTGCGAATTTTTGAGAATTTTTTAAAATGTTTTTTTTCAGCCGTACTTTCAAAGTGGATATATATATAATATAATGTATAATATTATATTTATATAATATTATAATATTATATTTTGAAAAAATTTTTATTTTTCTTCGTTTTACTGACTCGAAAAACTGAATAATTAAGGCGATTGGTGACGGTCGTGCTTTAACTCAAATGTTAAAAGCACTTGGTGGCGATACAATTGGTCAAAATAATTCTTACAAATATGTGGTGGATTTAATCCAGCAAATCACTAGATCACACAAAGAACTAAATGCGCAGTGGCAATCAGCAAAGCTGCGACTACATTCTCGACTAGCTCTTATTGCATTTGAAACTGATACTCACCGAGTTAGTCATTCATTTCATCCCCACAAACAAAATTATTATTAGTCCTTGCTAGATTTCTGTTGCCATAAATGTATTTGATGAGGTATAATTGATCATGAATTTCAAGTTAATACTATGGCTTAAATTATGGTGATATTTAATTATAATATTGTAATTTTTTATTCAATATTGTAACAGGTTTTGCAATGGCTTGAGCAACATGGCGATGCATATTTAAATAAAAATACAGCCATTGGGACGAATCTTTCACAGGCCAAGTTGCTTCAAAGAAATCATAGTCATTTTCGATCTGTTGCTTCAAATACATATACCAATGCAGAAAAACTTTTCACTGCGTCGAATACCATTATTGAATCAGGTTTTTTTAACTAAATTTTTTACTGTAGCAGAAAAAAGGATATAAAAAATCTTGATAATTCGAGTATCAATTATATTCAAAGTATTAATTTATTCAAAAAATGCGAATTTAATTTAGGTGAATGCGATGTCAAACAAATGACAAGTGTGGTTGAGGAATTACGAAGGCGTATAGAATTATTTTCTTCAAAGGTTATTTTATTCGAGGCTTTGTTTATGAGGATTAAAAAAGAATTGCGAATATATTTATTCATTTTCTGTTTTATCATTGTAGGTTGAAGCTCGTCGTGATTTGCTTAATAAATCTGTTTTATTCCATACGCATTATACTGAAATCATGGATTGGTACGGACGTATGGAAATGAAAGGTTCTCAATATGAACGAGTATCAATGAGCATACCAGAGGGTGAACGTCGCAAAGAGGAGTGGATGATTGAAAGCGATGCAACTGCACAAGTTAGAACAAGACTTTTCGTGTATTTCTATTTTGTAGACTAATTAATTTAATTTACTTATTATTTAATTTAATTTACTATTTCATTTAATTTTAAGTTTCCTTCTTCATAAACTGTTTCATTTATATAATTTAATCTTCTTATCTGGCATATTTGAAATTCATTTATGAAATTCATTTACGAAATTCATTTTTTTGATAAAATTAAATTGCAGGCATATGGAACGACAATGAGTGAAGGTCGTCAGCTCGTTAAAGCATTGGAACAACAGGCCCAACTGATGAAAATCGACAACCGTGAAGCAGTTCTATTTATTGAGAGATTAATTGGTGACATTGGTAAGTTTAGGTTGAAAATCAAGCAGAATACATCCAAAATTCTTGTCTTGCTGTTGGTAAATTAAGCGAAAATATCAAAAACAGAAAATTTATAGGCTTATTTCACATTATAGAACAACGACATGCAAAATTGGCTGAAAAATGGCCTCGTCAACGAAACGCTCTTCAACTAGGCGTTCGTCTTGCCATTTTCATCCGAGAATGCAAACAAATTAGCCAACAGTTGAAAGTAATTTATCTTTTGAATCTTCTTAATTTTCCTTATCAAAGAAGTAATTTTCATTTATTGGAATTTGGTTTTAAAGAAATTTTCTGAATTTAAATTTCGATCGTTAAGCTAGTTCTTTATTCACTAAGAAATTGCTCAGTTTTGTTTTGTTTTAAAAAGTTTTTATTCTTTTCTCATAAATTTAGTTTCCACAATCTTCCACAGTATTTAAGAACAATCATGAATTTTATTGCTATATTATTTTTACTATATTTTGCAGAACTGGCAAGAAGATATGTTTGCTTTGGTTCAGTCAGAAAATTTTGTGGAACGTGCGGAGCATATTTTGCCATATCAAGAGGATAACACAGCCCAAGTAAAGAATGCTGTGCTTGAAATAATGAATGGAGCTGCTGAGCTTATTCAGGTAAAATTTTAATTTATTTTCAGGTGGAATTCAAATTTGTAATTCAGTTCGCACTAATTTATTATTAACTAAATTATTATTAAAGAAAGGATATAGGACAATATGAATTCTTTAAAAGCGATTATTTCTCTTGTTATTGCTATTGGAATCATGAACGCAATCATAATTTATTTAATTTGATATTAAAATTTAATGTACCAAATTAATTTGTAATTTTTTTAGGTTAGTAAGGTTAAACCACAAATTTTTCTCTTTATTTTGTTCCATTCTTTCTTTTTTCACTTAATGCTATGTTGTGGTTTTTCATTTTTTGTTTTACATACATAGTTTAGATTTTATTGAGTTCGTCAAGTTGATTCATTATTTTTACTACATTTTGAATTCCTTGCAATATTTCTTGGTTTATTCTTGTTTATTATTACTATTTTCAACACGTCTTTGAATTATGTGAGTCTTCTCAACATTTTGTATCAAAAAGTATTATTAAAATATAGGACAGTGTTTATCTCTGTATTTGTCGTTATACCTTATCTTCATACCTTTGGTTTCGCCTCTATTATGTTTATTATAGTATGGTCCTTTATAATCCTTTATGCGAAATAATTTTTCGTATGATTGTTATTTATTATTTTAATTTTAATTTTTAGTTTTCTGCTCATAAACTACTGTTAATCTATTCAGATTCTCAAAAATTTTTTGATTTCTTTTTATTCGAAATTTTTTTTACGCATTAATTATATTATTAAAATATTAAAATATTTCTCAATGAATGGAAATCTTAAAAATTTGTAGGCATTGGAAGCTAGTGATTTGGCATTGGTAAATAGCGATGGGATTCCATTAAAGGATTTAATTATTGCTAGTGTTTCACAACTTTCCAGTTGTCAAAGAGAAGTCATGCAGGTTCTCAATAAATTTATTATTAGTTCTATAATTTTTTAATGACTGAGTATGCATTATTAAAATTCCCGTTAGAATTAGTTGAGCTTTCTATTTCTTCGATTTTATGATATGATATTTTTTGAACAAGAAATTTAAGGTTGCTCAAGAAACGCGACATCGGATTGAACAATGTATGCAGCTTAATCGAGCCAATGTAATGGCATTACGCACTATACAAAATATGCAAAATGAAGAGCAAAATTTATTACGGAATAGTATGATTCCATCGAATTTGGATGAAGCTCTCGCAGCACAAGTTTCCCATCGACATTTTCAGCATGCAATTGAAGTAAACATTTTTAGCTGGTTCTGTTTTTTTATGCAAAAAAATCTTTATGTAAATTACAATTCATTTCAGAATGTTAACCATGTTGCCGCTGGTTTTATTCAAAAGACTGAATTGCTCATTAATAGCGGTAACGTTGATGCTCGTGCTTTAAATGAACTGAATGAGCAAGTAATGAGTAAATGGCGACGTTTAGTGGGTCTTGCTGAAGAAAGAAACAAATTGATAAAAGCTGCTATTGGATGCTACAAAACTCTTCATCAAGGAGTAGGTGTTTTTTTTGGCTGTTATTCATGTCTTAGGATCTCTTCAGAACTTTGATCGTTCGATTCATCAATGTTGTTTTTACACAGAATTTTTTCAGAAAATTTGCATAAAAAAATTTGTAATCATTTCTAATATGTCTTTTAATATTTTTTCTTTCAAATTCAAATTATCGGTGGAATTATTTAAATTTGTGATATGGAAATTTTAAGGTTATGCCCATTCTGGATCAGTTGGAAAAAGAATATAGCGCAGAACCTGTAAAAGATTGGTGTGCACTGAAAAGTGAAGAATGTGCTGCCGATCGTGCTCATTATATAGCCGAGTTACTTTCAAAGCACATGGAATATAAAGAGCGTTTCCTTAAGGTATTTTTCTTGTCTTATAACAAATTCAAATAAAAATATATATATACATATAAAATAATAAAAATATTTATTAGAGATAGGGGATAGAATGGCTCAGTGGGTTGTTTAATTCGGATCGCCGATGCTGAGGTCCTAATCCGGTCGATGCTGGCGACTCACCTGTACTTCTATCACCAGGGGACTCCCTGGTGTATTTACTCTAGTGCGGCAAGCCAGTGGAAAGAGTTTGACCAGTAATAGAGAGGACTCTTAAAATTTGAAGATAAAATTAATTAAAGATAGAAATAGAAGAAAAAGATAAAATTTATGAGAAAATTCAACTGTAAGATTCATAAAAACAAAAATTGATCAAATTATACTTAGGTTTTCTGGCTTATTAAATCAAATTTCATTATTAAATTTTATAGCTTGTATTACCGATTCTCAAAGCTTTGTTTTTAAGAGGGCCAAAATCGTTCGATTGATCGATGTTTTCACATAGAATTTTTTCAGAAAATTTGTATCAAAAATTTGCAATCATTTCTAATGACTTTTAAAATTTTTTCTTTCTAAATTCAAAATATCGATGGAACTATTTAATTTTTAAAAATTAGGTTTTTTTATTGCTCTTTTTTCAATTTCAGGGTTGTTCTTACGCTCAGAAGACTTCGGAACTGTTTTTGAAGTATATAAGACGTTGTGAAGCTAGCGCGGATCATATTAAGATGCATGAAACTCGTTTGTTGAATCTGAAAGCCGACCTTCGTGAACGGCAGACAAAAATTTTAGATTTATGGATGCAAAAGAAGCAACAGTTAGATCGCTGTCAGCAATCCGTTCTTCTTGAAGCGACTGTTAAACAGGTCTATTTTTAGATTCTGGAGTTATTGCCTGTAGCCCATTTTTATAGAAACGTGTTCACAAAGTCATTAGCTATAAAATTTTGTTGAGTGGTCGTTTTTGCTTTTTCTTGTGTTCTTTCTCAGATTCAAAAAGCTATTTCTCAGAATATGGACTGGATAAACCAGAAAGGAGATGCTATGTTAAAACGATTTTTCGAAAAAGATTTAACAAAAACTCGTCGAGATCAACTGGAAGCTTACATCGATGAATATATAACATTTAAAATAGAAGCTAAGGTTTGCTTTTGGATACAGCAATAAGCAGATATTTATATTTTATAATTTTTGATGCATTTTGATGCATTTTTGATGCATTTATCATTTCTTTCTTTATTAGTTGTTCATGATTTCATGGTTTAGCAAAGGCGAGTAGATGTAAGCACAATGCTAAAGCTAGCAGAATCGTTTTGTTCAAATGGGGTTCGAGATCAACACGCTATTGATGTTGATCATTGGATGATGACTGTGCGCTCAAGATTTGAACAATTTTCTTTACGTTTAGCCGAATATGAAAGTCTTCTTTTCACTGCCACCGGTAGAAAATCTGATGTTAATCGAGCGGTAAATTTTTTTTATTATATACAGTAGTTTACGATCTTTGAATTCAATATATTATCAATTTTTCATTAATAAATATTTTACTAGTGGAACGAGTGATTTCATGGTTGTAATTTTTTGACATTAATGATTAATCGCTTTTAGAAAGAGGAATTATCGTTGGACAGACAAAGTGATTCGAGTTTGGAATCCAAAGTTAATTCTGATCGATTAGCATCGGAAGTAAATCGAAAAATGAGGTACAATAATAATTGCATTAAGCATTTCATTTAGTTTTTTTTTCTATACTTGAATATTTTCAAATATTTCTCATTGCTCATCATTCACACTAATCGTAGTTGCTAGCTCCTTTTAAGAAAATTTTTTCTTGTGGACAAAAATAAATATGAAAAATAATTTCATATAATAGAAAAAATAATCGGAAAAATAATAAGATTAATTGATTAATTAATCTTATTTTTCAACCCATGATTTTCGCATGATTGAAAGAATAGCACCAACTAAGTTATATATTATTATTCTCGATTAAATTTGAAATTATCTTTCAACTGATCTTTTTATTTTCATTAAATTATTTAACTTTTCTAAATTTTTTAGAGTTCTTTTTTCACATAGCACTGAATTTTTTTATCTTTTTTAAAATTTTTTATCTTATTTGTTAGATAGAAAACAATTCTATCTAAATAAGAATGCTAGAATAATATTTATGAAAAAAAATTAAAATTCAATACAATTTATTTTGTTGGCTATGGATTGCATATTCCAGAGAGCCAATGATGGAACTGATAAAGTCCGAAAAAGATTATATTGATGATCTGAATAGGTGTATTTGCTATTATTTAGCTGCTTATCGAAAAGCCTCTAATACAGTGCCTTTATCTCTTCGTAATAAAGAAAAAGAAATTTTCGGAAACATTGAACAACTTTATCGATTCCATAGCGAGTTAGTTTTTCTCGCTTATTTTTGGCGTTTATTTTTTTTAAATTTTTTACAACAATTAATCTTTAAGTTTTTTTTCAAAAATTTTTCAATAATTATATTTTTATTAAGAACATTTTTACCTCAACTTGTCAAGTATGAAAACGAACCCGAAGACGTTGGTTATTGTTTTATTTTTTCCGTGGAAATGCTCAATTCTCTCTACACAGAATACTGCGTTAATAAGGAACAAAATAATTATCTCATCGCTCTACCTGAAACCGTTCAATTTTTCTCGGTGAATTGCTATATAGCTATTTCTTTTTATTCTCTTTATTTCTTTCGTTTCCATAATAACGCATAATATTAAATTTATAAATAAATAATAAAAATTAAAGGAGATTCGTGAAAAGAATAATTTGGAACATAGTCACGATCTTCAATCTCTGGTTATTAAACCGGTACAAAGGATAACACGATATCGCCTCATGCTTGAGCAATTGTTAAAAAATTGCAAAAATAATGTTGATGAAATAAAGGTATATTTCGCTAACAATTCCTATAATAAGCCAGTGAATGAAGAAGTAAATAACTTTATCATGCACTATTTTAATGGAATTTATTTTTAAGTATAAATTCAAAAGCATTTTGGAAATTGTTCGATTTTGATTTTTTTAAATAAATAAATTATTAAAATGTAAATTTATATATTGAAATTGTATCGTGAAATAGTGAATTATTAATAGTCAAAATTTTAGGAAGCATATGATGTTGTCGTTAGTGTTCCACGACGTGCAAATGATTTGATGCATTTAGAAAATTTCGAAGGATATAAGGTTTTGTTTTATAATCGTTGAGAATTAATTAATTAATTATTTCTCAACGAATTAAGAACTGGAAGTTTTCCATATAATACTTCGTACAATAGTTTATACGAATTTTTTCAGGAGCTTGGTGTGCTTGGTGATTTTGTGATGCAAGAATCATTTATCGTTTGGGATTCAAAAGCTTATTTTAAAAAAGGTCGTGAACGCCAGGTTTTTCTTTTCGAATTATGCGTTGTTTTCGCGAAAAAAATTGAACTGTCGAGTCGTGCAATGAAATATGTGTACAAAAATCGCCTTATGGTGAGTAAAGTTTTTTCTCAATGTTATAATCTCATTCGGTAGAGTATTAACAGTGTGAATCATATCAAGTTTTATTCTGTTAAGGAAAATATATTTTATCGCGATTATAAGAAAATACAATTGCTATGTTAATTTTGATAATTTTCGCTTAATTCAGATTATTATATAAAAATTGCAGCTTTCGGAAGTTAACGTATGTGAGCATGTGGAGGGTGACTCAAGTAGATTTGCGCTAAGGCAAGGCACGATTCCGAATAATGAGTTACGAATAGATTTGAAGGCTTCCAGTGAACATTGTAAGATTCACTGGGTGAAGAAGATACGTGAATTGATGCAAGGCCTTATGACCGCAAATCTTGGTAATAAAAATTTATTTACTACTTATTAATTAATTCTTTTTTTCAAAATGTGTAATACATATTAATATAATTAAATATAATTAACTGTCTAATAACGTTAATATAATTAAATCTAAGGTATTGAAAATGTAATCGAGGGATAGATTTACCGAGACATCCATATGACATTTCTTATACACAAAAATAAATTAAAAATAAAAAATAAATTTAGATATGCGTCAAGTGAGTGCAGGAAGAGTTCCACGACCCACAACATTAGGTTCGGATCGAAGTTCAAAGGATAGTGATGGTATACCGGTGAATGGTGACGATAGAAATTCTCTTCGTAGTTGTACGTCATCAAATAGCAATCTTGAGGTTAAAATTATTTTTTTCTTGATTTAATGTTTTTGAAAAAGTGAATATTCTAATAACAAGTGAATATAAGTAATTAAGGTTGTAGACTTATTTAATGCGCCAAAAGTAATTTTTTTTTGGGTTAGCTGTGATAATTTAATACGGTCGCGCCCACGTGAATGCTGACGTAAGCGTAAGCGTTAAAAATATTATCGAAAAATTTGGAAAATAGCATATAGCGGTAGGACATAGAATAAACAAAGATAATGCCTTTTTTGAGTCAATTTTAAAATTATTTTGCCCTTTTTGATGATTTATATATTGAATAGAGAAATTGAAGGCAATAGCTCGTAGTTAATCGAATAAAACTGAAAGGAAAGTGGTTATTGAAGAAAAAAATTGCGAAAATTTGTTTAGCAGTATTCGAAGAAAAACAGTTTCTAAAAAAAAAAAGTTTATCGCTAAGTCGTTTATTTATTCCGGTTTTTGAAATGAATTTCTTCCTATTTTTTTAGCTAATAATAAACTTTTTTTGATTTCTTTTTTTTGCATTTTTTGATCTTTTCGATCTTTTTAAAAATGAGTTTTGCATGAGTTTAGTGAACTCTATGATCTTTCCTCTCCCTCTTCTTGGAGTCATCTTCGGAGTCGTTCTACTGAAATTTCACAATCAATCTTATATTACGAAGACAAGTTCTGAATTCAGTTTGATTTATTTCTTCAGCTTTTATCATCGCTTTAGACGAGTTTCGTCTTATAGCTTGGATTAAAATTTTTTAAAATTTATGTTTTCTCGAAGATTGTGAATAAGAAAATTCGGGATTGTTATTGCTTTATCATACAATCGATAAGATTAACAGCGATAAGTGAGTGTCGATGATCAGTGAGCACTTTTCTCGTTTTAGTTTACTGATGAAAAGATGTCGAAGTTTTTGATATATTATTGTGGGTTTTTTTTCTTGGATTTATAAAACCTTTTTTTTTAAGACCATAGAAGTGATAAATTTTCTTTAAAAAATTTTATTAATATTGCCTTCTTTGAGATTTTACTTCAGAGTTTATCATTATTTATGCAGAACTAAAGAAGTTTTATATTTATCGGTTTTTATTCTTTCTTTCGATGGTAGTGATGATTTGTGTTGTAAATGATTAAGTTTGTTTTCCCTTATACATATTTAATAGAATTTTTCTGTGCAAATTGGACAAATAAAACATACTTCCTCCACATATTGATTTACGGGTTTCTTATTTTCTTCGTCGGGGAATCTTATTAGATAAGAAGTTTTTTCGATTGCTTATATATATGTGTATATAAATATATATATCTTGTAGATGGATATTTTGCAGTTATTTAATTCGATTTTTTTCATCATTTTTTTTATCTTCATGAAGTCTGATTAGACTGAATTTGGCTGTACTTGAGCAGTGGCTTTTTATTTACTGATAAAAATTTTTATTATATGTATATATATATAGAAAGAGAAAAAATAGTAATAATGATAATAATAGTAATAAATTCGATTTTGTGAATGAATTTATGCATTTTATTATCATTATCTTCTTCTTCGTATCATCATTATCGGACGGCAAAAGCAGTACTAATTTTCACAATCCAATTACATCAATTTGTCTTTTTAGTTTTATCATTTTAACCGAATTTTATTTTCATCCATTTCCAATATTTAGTTGATTAATGTTCGTTGAATTAGATCAGAAAAAAAAAATTTCTTAAATTCGGCTTAAGAATTATAGGTTTTGTGGTTTTGTGGGTTTTTATTCAAGTAATTTGTTAATGGGTAATTTTTTTTGGAAATTTTCGCAAGAAATTAGATATCATTGCATTTGTAATTTGTAATTTGGTTTAATTTTATTTTAAATTCATTTTACAAATTGTCGAGTTTTTAGGAATTTTTTTCCTTTTCTTTAGAGTATTAGAGTATTAAATCTTAAATTTACTTATTTTATATAATTAATAATTATTTTTGTAATGAGGAAAAAAAATATTTGTTGAAAGATGGATTGATCGATCGAGCGGGCAACAAATAAAAGAACACCTGTAGCAGATCCGTTTCGAATAGAATGAAGCGATATTGAATGCGATACAACATCAGCAATAGCAATGATAGTAATAGTAATGGGGATTGGCGAACCATAGGAGCAGCTGTGCAATGGAAGAGAACGAAAATTGAATAAAATGGAGAATAGAAGAAGCGAAAAAATTATTTGTGGAAATCTGGAAATAAATAAATAGAAGAAGAAAGGGGGAAAAATTTCGATAGATAGCAACAGAATAACGAAAAGGAGATTATTTTTCGTTTTCGAATCGAAGTGTTAACACAACTGATGACTGGATGAATGGCTGAATGGATAGATGGATTGAATTGATAGGATGGATGGATGAGATGTGAATTTAATGAATTGACGAATAAGATTTGATAAGGCAAACGATGGAATTGATAATCAGTAAAAAATTTAAGAAAAATTTTTCTAGAGAAAGAAGTTTTCTTGCGAAAGGGCAACGTAGAAAATTGGTCATTCTCATAGAGAGTTTTAAGCAATAGCGTCGTCGCCACCATTTTTCTTACGATTCTTTTTTCATTATAATTTTTATGATTATACCTTATAATTTTTTTTTCGCTATGATTTTATTAATAATATTGATAATTATACTAATCATTACTTAGAGATAATAATGACAAAAGTGATAATAAGTAAGGTGTAATTTATTTAAAGTACTTTATTTTTTCATTATCATCATTACCATATTTATTTTATTGTTTGCTACGACAAATATTCGAATATTATTTATTATTATCAGCTATTATTTTTTATTTTATACCTAAAATAAGGTTGAAGGACAGGCTAAATGGATTATGCGATAAATGAAATTTATCAATTGTTCGTTTTTAAAATTGATCATTTTCGTAGATTTTGAAAAAAAATCTTTTAATCGCTTTCTATTCATCAATAATAAATTATTGGTATTGAAAGCTTGGAAATTATGTGGATAATCTGAAATAAATTCATGATGGATCTGTAAGGATAGATGGCAAAAAATTTTTATAGGTTTAATGTTTCATTAATAAATCGCTGCGGAGAAGAACATTCGCTCAAACATTCGTTTTCGTTGTAAATAATTGTTATAAAACTCATAGTTTTAACTCGAGCGGCTTATTTATTTGTAAATCTTTTCCAGGTTTGTCTAGGCTATTCTATTTTAAAAAAAGGCGATTTTGTTTATTATTGTTATCATTATTTGCTCGAGGAGAAATAGTCGCAGCATTTAGAAAAATAATGAATGATTTACCATGGAATGAAAGGTTAACATCATCATTCTTATCGGTGCCAGGTGATAACTCTGATGATACTAATCATGACCTCCTTATTAGTAGTTCTTATTCTTATTCATCATTATCGTCACCATTACGTTCATCTTCACCACCAACACCAAGAACTACACCATTAGTAACAGTGTCATCGTTATCGGTTTCAACACCATCATCTTCTTCACCATCAACCGTAAAACATTGTTCAAAGCGTTCTGTAACGGCACCTCTTCGTCATTTATCATCGCTTTTCCATCATTTGCTTCATACGAAATTATCGAATCGTCATCGTCATAATTATCATCGTAAATCATTTTTGGTTTGTTTATTTTCATATTTATTCCTTTTTTTTAGTCGATTTCTTTATAATAATTCCATTTTTCATATTATTTTTATGGCCGCATCTACGAAGATTTCCGATAGCTTTAGTGCAAAATTTATGAAGTTATTTGAAGATTAATTATGAAATGATGTAAAGAGTGTAAATTTTTGAATTTATTTTTTTGTTACCAGTAAGTCGGAATCGAATTGAATTGTTTGTATAGCCTGTGAGAGGATTTCGAGTATTTTGACAATCTTTTTTAAAGATTTTTCAAGAATCATTCACTCAACAATTTAAAATTTGAGAATTTTATTCACAATCCGAAACTCCTGGTTAGATTTTATGAAAATAATAGAATAATAATAATAGAATGCAAAATATAAGGCAAATGTTTAGTTTATGAAAATATATTATAAAAGGAGTTTTCTATTCAAAATATCTTTAATAGGCCGCACGGATTGTGTGCCTTTTCTAAAGCTATTAAGTTCTTTTACTCTTTTTTTTATTCACTCGTCGTATCAAATCAAATCAAATTACTGAGTAACAATGGAATTTTAAAATTTGAATTGATTTTCATCTTTGTGGCAGTTCTGTAAATTTTATTTGCAATCGTCATGCGTAACTCTTGGTTTGTTCTCTTTGAAAACTTTACTTTACTTTTCTCTATTATTTCTCGTTTTTACAGTCTTTTTTTAGAGTAGTTTTAATTTAATGGCACTTAAAAGTGGTTTTCACGGTGTGTTTCGAGAATCCTGGGGGATCCGTCGAGTTTTATAAGCCAAAACCATTTTCAGAATATTCCTAATATGTTTTATACGTTATTTTCTAAAGAATAGTTGGCCTACATTTGTTGGCTTTAAACATTATGAAAAATTATACGAATAATGGAATAAAAAATGGAATACAAAGTGAATGGAATAAAAAATATATGAGAATTTCTCACTAGTGAATTTAGAGATAGATAGATAGCACAAATAAATAAATTTGGAGATAATTTCGAAAGTGTGCTGAATAATTTTTAAGGGGCTAAGGAGTCCTCAGGGTAAAAGATTTAAGAGCGGCTTAGCTTATTATTGGTCTCATCTGGATATAAATCAATCATAAAATCAAATAAATAAATAGATCCATGGATTAAAAATTTGAGTTTTAATGAATAAACAATGAAGGGGAAAAAAAAGTGAAATTAGTATCTCATTTAATTAATTATCTCATTTAATTATCATACAATATTAAAATGATTAATGCTTGCTCGTCTATTGATGTTATCATTATTGTCTAATTTTTTTTATCATTTAATGATTTATTAGTTAAGTGGAATTGACAATAAATAAGAAATGTTTATTTGTTTAACAAGTGCTGCATGTAGTTAACTTTATCATTGAATAGATATAGGCGTTCTTGTTGATCTATTCATTTGATATCCATTTGATATTTGTTAGTGATTTGATGTTTCCGGGTGATGCTGGCGACTCACCTGTATATTTCTATCGCCATACGACACCCCTGCATAATGTGTAAGCCAGTGGAGCGAGTTTAATTAGTAATGGTGAGGTGTCTTTAAAAAAAAAAGTGATTTGATGTTTAGGCGAGGTTTAGAGGGACATTTATTTTCTTTAGTTTGAGTTGAGATGGTACTCTCGACTAACCTTTAATGGTGTACTCAGTTGATTGGCAAAATCATTTCATCTCACACTCGGTTTAGTGAATTTCGCAAAAGTTGGCAGGTTCAAAGCGCTTATTAATTTACCTTCTTCCAACATAGCGATGGGTTTTTTGATTTGATAATTAGATTGGCATATCTAATCATTTGTTGAGTATTTTTTGGCATCTTCGTCATTTTTTCTTGTTTTTTTTTCATTCTCAAAAGTGCAAAAAAGTTTTAGTGAATATTTCCGTTTTTTCTACCTATGAGAAAATTTGCGGAAGGAATATTCTTTCGTTACAAATCGATTTGATATAAAAGCTTAGAACACGGAAAAACATTTCGTATGTATAGGGGATTATGTTAGCAAAGCCTATTGATTGCAAAGCTTGCTTTAAATTTTCCTTAATCGTCCATTTTTCTCTTTTTTTATTCTTTATTTTAAGCGAAAAATTATCAGTTAGGCGAATTGCGAATATATGGAAAATAGCATTTTTTTATTCGTTGATAAGATTTTTCGGCAATTAACGAAGTTTATTGCAAGATTGATTCGCATAATTTGTTCTAACAACAACTGCCACTTCTGGCTTTGTTGGCTTTACTTTCTATTAGAATGAGATCTCTGCCGTAGAGAATGCGAATCACTGGGGATTTGGAGATGGAAATTTCGGTGAGTTCGTAACATTCCAAGGTAAATTCTTGACCGATGATCAACTAAACTTGAATTTTTCTTTGAATCTCGAAATGATCTTTAATGCGTTATCTGATAGAAATTCTTAAAGAACAAAAGGATGGAAATTGAGCAATTTTTATTATTTCTTCATATCTTAGTGAGCTATAAAATAAATTAAGCGATATGTTTTGAGAAATATTTTAATCAATTTAATCAGTAGCATATATAAAATTATTTTGCTATCATTAGTATTAATGAATACATTAAGTAATTAAAAGTTAATTAAAAGTAATTAACTATTTACCACTTCTGGTTGAAATCCTTCTAATGGCTGTGAGGGTAGTTTTGCCAAGGAATCATTTGGATGTAGAAAGGTTTGACAGGTGATTCGCAACGATTGCCCGGGTTTATTAATGTTGGAGGTAGAAACTGAACCATGGTACTTCGGGATGAAAATCTAGGCAATATTCATTTGGTCGTTCTTCTCCTATTGAATTCCTCTTTCGATTCCTCCTTCTTTCTTTCTTTTTTTTTGTTTATCGATATATTTTCATTTAATAAATGATCCTTTTTGGAAAATAGATGTATATATGTAAATTGAATAATCATTGCGACTATGAATTGAATTGAAGGCAATATGTTTTATAATTGCTAATATTATTGCCCTCCTGTGTCATATATTATTTGCTATTGAAAATTTTTATTTTTTTATTTTATTAAACGATCTTATGTCTTTCAATGAATTCTGATGTTTTCGAATAATGGCATATTATTATTATTATAGTTCGTCAAAAAAACTGAAATTCATATTGCATTTTAGTGGAATTTAAATCTTTTTCACTGAATGATATTCTAATATTCTTTTCGAATGAGTTAATATATCTCTGGTTAAATGAATGAAAAGTTTTTAAACTCCTTTTTCTAATCGCATTTTTTCCTTTGCTTTTTCTTCTTTCCTTGATTTTTTCCAGAAATGAAAGGAATAGCAAGAGAATTAATTCTTTTTCCAAGAGGTAGAGCGTATTTTATTTTTTATCCTTAACACTATTTTTTTCTCTCTCTCAATAGGCAACGCTTAAATTCTTATTTTAGCCAATGTTTACCTTACCTAAAAGATTGTTTTTCCTAAATTACATTTTCCTGCAGTTTTTTCTGATCATTCAAGGATAATTAAACGATATATTTATCATCGAATAAATTTTCACAAATAATTATTAATCGAACTAAAATGATTGGCGTGAATATAAACAAATATTTCAATACTTATTATTATTAGAGATTAGAGTGTGATTCAAATTCAAATATTTCTCATTTCTTTTATTTAATTATATTTAAAATTATATTTATTGTCGACAGTGGTGCAAAGAATTTTATTTGCACTAAATTATTTATTGACTTCTAATGACATTGCACTATTCGAAATCGTTAAAAGCGATTCGGTCTCGTACTGAATATATCTACGATAGTGCACGTCGAAAATTAACCAAATCGTTTCGATCGAGAAAGAAACAAGTTGGTTTTTCTTTCTAGAAAATGTGACTTTAATAGGTGAAAAAAGTTGATAAAAATTCAGAGATATTTTTACAATTAAGGCAATTTATTATGAATAGTTTTTTTACGAATGAATAGTTTTTTTACGAATTACAGAGCCAACAAGAATCATGCATCGCACTCGAAGATTATGAAGCGCATGAACCCGGCCAGTTGACAGTTAATAAAGGACAACGGTTGCAGGTTTTTTTATTATTTTTTTGCAAATTACCAAGGTAATATTCCAAGTAATTAATTAAAATAGTGATATTAAGCTTTATACGTATTTGTTTGGTTAATAAAATAATTTTGAGGGGTTAAGGCTTCTTTAAATTGAGGTTTCAAATGGATCATCGTAGAGAAATCATTTTTGTAGAAGTAGTAATTAATTAAATAATTTTGGAGGATTTAAAAAGTCAGTTACTGAAACTGAGATTTAAATAAAGCTAGGCTGGCTTTACTGCTTATTTGAATAATTTTGACGCATTTCTTCAATAATATCATTCATATCTAATTTGTAAAGAAAAAAGAAATAATAAATGAGCAAGAATAAGCGACATTTCGTTCATTTCATGGATCTATTTAATAAGATTTATCATCGCAAGAAAAATTAACTTTCTTTTAAAATAGGAAAGAAAAAAGTATCTTTTTTATTTTATAAACTATTAAATAGACATTGTTGAAGTGATTTTCGTGCAGGAAATTTCCAATTTTCTACAAATTTTCCATCCTTTTCTCTAAAAGAAAAGAAAAGAAGAATGTAAAAGACGAAGCAATTTTAATCCTTAAATTCCAGTTAATTATGGTTGAGATTTTAAAATTAAATATTTTACTGGATAGTTTGTTTTTGGCTGTATCCAGTATCCATTAGGTTAAATTTTCCAGTTTATTATTGGTTAGTTAATCGATATTAGGTTAATGCATTGTAAATATTGCTGTTTTAAAATTTAATTTAAATAGCATGGTTTCTTTCATAATTTTGCGGAAATCAGCCAGTGAAGATATCGAAATTTTTGCGAAGGAAAAGTTATTTCCCTTGGGTGAAGAAAATTTAATGACTTTATAAGAATTGAAATTTTATTGGTAATTGTAGTACAATGAAAGGAAAGGAAAGGAAGGAGGCGAAATGAAATTGGATTAAAATTGGGAGTTATTTGAATTGATTGCTTCTTTGCATTTTTGCAAGAAAATGCTTTATACAAAAGGGAACAAATAACACTGCTTGGAGATAAATAGATAGATCCATTAAAGCGCTATCTATTCTGCTCCATCTAGATAGGATCTATAAACAAATAAATAACGGCTAATTTTTGGCTAATCGAATGGCTAATTTTGTGCCGAAAGATATTCCAGAAAAAAAATTGAATGCGTCGAATTTATTTTTTTCCAGAGGAAAAAGAATTTGATAATTTAACATCGATAAAAATTGATTTCTTCAACTTTTTTTTCTTCATAAATTTTTCGCAAATTAGTTAATTAGTCTGATTTCTTTATATTATTACGTTTCATTAATTTTATAACAATATGTAGAAATCCGCAAAAATTATTTTAAATTCTAAATGCTTAATAGCTTCAATGGAATATTCTACAAAACAAAACCAAATTAAATAAAAAAGAAAAGAAAAAAAATTAAAATATAATTGAATCGAATAGAGAAACGATTCGAATTCTAAAAATAGATCAATAGATCGCCAAATTAGATTATTTTGGATATTCTTTCGTTGTGATTTTGAGGAAAATTTTTAAAACAAAATGTTCAATAAATGAAATTAAATGTGAACGACGAAGGCTATTTGATGAAATTATTTCATAGATTTTTTCTTTTTTTTTAGATAATCGAATTCTACGTGGATGCACCGGAATGGGCTTTAGTATCGTTGACGACAGAGTCAGGTGAACAACGTCAAGGCGTTGTACCATTTTCGATATTGTCCAATGAGATTAGTGGTACGTACTTTTTTTTTTAGATTTTTTATCATTTTTTGCGTGGTTAATCAAAAAAATTAGTTCAACTTGGAATTAGCAAATGTATTTTGTGAGTATAACGAAAGAGAAAAGTGTATTTTATTATTAGATTGAGCTAAATGATTTTTTGAGAATAAAGTTAGTATTGAAGTTAAAATTTAGAAAGGATATTAATGATTTCCTAATTAACAATTCAATTGGAGAGATATTAGCATAACTGGAGAGTTATCCTCTAAAAGTTCGGAGGCGTTTGTCACTATCTTGGTGAATTTATAAAATTTATAAATTTTGTTGATATCTACTCTCCTTATCGAATTCGCATTATTTGACTTAGCAATAAAGTATATTTATGGTCCGCTAGATCGAATTTATAAAGCCTTTTCTACTTATTTCCTTTAATTTATAAGGCATCGTCTTATAAACTTGTACTTTACGTTCAGTTAATGACTTTCTATTTTTTATAGTTTTTCTTATTGCATAATTAATTTATAAGAAATGTTTGCTAGTAATAGTTGGAGGACCAGTTGGCGCTAAAGTTTGTGCTATGGCTGTGTGGTATTCTTTTCTGTGTTATTATCACTTGGTGTTGTTCAGTTGTCGGCAAGAATTCATTTCGTCGTCGAATAGCAGCAAATACCACGCCTCTTGAGACCCTTTAGGCTGATTCTTATGCAGTTTTGGTGGTATTTAATCGAATTTTTATCCTCAGCCTTTTATTTTAATTTTGTCCTCTTTTGTCTTAAAACTTCCCTCTTTGCAAGAATAACCTCCCTTATTGTTTTAAATCATTGTTATTTTTAAGGTGTTTTAATATAAATTTTGATACGAAGGCGAGAAATTTTTGTTCAATTTTCACTTTGATTTGTTTGTTGAGAAATACATTTAATGATTGCTCGAACTGTTGTTTTCATAGAGAATCTGATTGTTCATAGTTGAACTGAAGATTCGTCGTTTTTTCGTTGATTTTTCGATTTTCTGGTTTTTTTTTCTTCTTCTTTCCTCGTAGTTTTCTTAATTAATTGCTAATTGTGCTCGAAATTAAGTAAATTGTATGTTGTATGTATGTAGTTTTCATTTAGCATAAGATGTTAACTTAAAAAAGATTATAAGATTCAAGTTGAGATAGAGAAATGAATTTCTAGAAGAATCGTCGAAGAATTCGATAACTAATTGAGAGATTGACTGCAAAACTCAGCGAAAGACAATTGAGGCTAAGGTATGTTAGTGAAATAAGGAGGTGAGGTAAAGTTTGTTTGTTTGTCACAACAAAAGGATTGATAAAGAAGAGCATTTCGGAAAAGAAGCCTCGGAAGCTATCGAATTCTTTTCTTTCTCTCGTTTGCTTAAAAAAAGAAGAAGAAAGACGAAGGAAAATTATAAATATTGAAAAATTTTAAGAGAACAATAAAATAGATGGGAAACTTTAATATAATATTAGCTCGTGAAAATTTTCTTAGCGCTATCTTCGCTATATTTTTACTTGTTTGAACTTCGAGTAAATATTCTTTCTGATTAATCAATTTTTTTTTTGTCGATTTTATTAGAAATTTTTAAAAGAGTTATTTTTTAGATCAATTTTTTTATGAAAAAAATCCCTTTTTTTTCGCTTTTTGTTTGCCCTTCTAATATCATTCATTAAAGCCGAAATTGGCTAATTTAATTATTTTATTCGAAAAGAAAAAAAATAATAATAAATTTGGCCGAGTCAACGCATATTTTTTTGTTATTTGATAAGATGGGTGAATGCATGAATGGATGGATGATACGCGATACTTTTCTTTTCCTTCATTCTCGATTCTCGACTACTGATGAAGTGTCATCATCATTGAAGAATTTATATTTCTATCGCTAGGGTCGCTTATATATAATTATATATATTTATACTGTTAGCGAGTCGCAGTATTCACTTGACTAAATGAATATGATGGTTTTTTCGATTAGAAGCAACTAATGCTAACAAGACGAGCAATTCCTCGAACCACATAACTTATCCGTATTGACTGAGAATTCATTATTTGTTATTACTAGTTCTGAGGCATGTTTTGTTTTAGATTTCTTTTCACATTGTAAGGATATATTTATAGGTTTTTAGGATTCATTTGTTGTTGATTTTTTTTTGCCGAATGAATTTTATAAGAATATCACGTTTTTATCATATTCGACGTCTACTGCAAAAAGTTTTTACTCTATAATAGCGCTATTAGAACTGAGGAGCAACGATATATATTTTTCATTATATATAAAGAATGAATCGAAATATGTCGACGGAATCGGATATAGTAGCACATGATGAACGTCACCTAAGTCGAAGGCAGAAATGGTCGTTTGCATTAAAACGTCGTTGGTTCTCGACCTCATCATCATCTTCGACGAAATCATCTATAGAAAGTCATTCGCATAGTTTATCAAAAGCAGTTAATGTGTCGCACGATAATACTGGTGATAGAGAAGCGAAAAATTCAAAGCATTTCACAAAACCTACTCTTCCAATACTTGGTTTTACATCTACAAAACACGAATCCAGCGGTTTGTCATATTTTTTATTGTAAATATTTTTATATAATAATTTTTAAATTTTTATGGATAGTATGGTCAGAGAATTTATTCGAAATATAGGAATTTTTTCTATTGATATTTTTTCTAAGCGATCTATTCGATTTCACTAAAAATTCCTCCCGATTTTGAAGGGTTGCACATTGCTAATATAACGATAATGTATTATTTGGATTTTTGGTGAAATAATAATGCAAAATAGTTTTTTTTTTATTATTTATTATTCGTTGCGAATTGAGAAATCTGTGGGAAATTTCTTTAATTGCGTTTTTTAGCGATCATCTCGATGAATTAATTTTTTGCTTTATCGTAAGAATTCAACTATTTTTGCTATTATTGTATAATGATGAAATGAAATTTATAAATGCGACTATTATGAGAATATTGGGCATTTTTTTAATCACTTATTTTAAAAAATTAGCGAAACTTATTCGATTTTAGCTTTAGTTTTAAAAAAAAAAAGTATTTAAAATCTCCGTCTGTTGATGATTTTTTAGTTTGATAAAGCGAGAGTTTATTGAATTAAAGTGCTTTACTTCGAAGAAATAATATTGAGGAAAGATAGTTTTTAAATTGTTGATGTTCAACGAACAAACGAAAAAAAAGAGTAATGAATTAATGAGTAGGAATGGAGGAAGGAAATGGGAAATTTGTTTGCTTTTATTTGATTTATAAAAAGTATGAAAATATGGTAAAGTAGATTAGAAATGAAATTTTCTTGTCTGAAAATTGAAAATGTTTGAAATTGTCGAGAGTGATGTGGAATTTAAGAATGTTAGGAGAGATCCTTGTAATAATTTATGTATTTTATTTTAATTTCTTTGAATTTTAGATGGTGTTTCGGCTTCAAGTTCAACAACAACTGATCGGCCTATATTAGCCGTCGATACGGGTGCATCACCTTCTACGGCACAAAATATTGTCAAGCGGAAAAGCTTGCGGTAGAGTTTATTTTCTTGTAAACATCGTTTTCAGTGTTTCGAAACGTCGAGTTTAGAAAAAATTTTTCTTATGGATTATTTAGTCCATTTAGTGATTCCAAATCTTTTAGGAAATGCCAATATAAAGCGATTTTTTTGGTTTATAAGTGTATTTAGCAATAATTTATATGTGCATATTTAATTACAATATGATAATAATGTAGGTGATTTTTGAAAAATTTTTATGCTAAATTAATTTGATATAATTGAGTTAGTTTTTTTCGTTGTGATTATTTGAACTGATTCAATTCGGATTAATTTTTTCTTATTTAAAATAATTATTTAACGAATAGTTGAATAATTTATTGAATTGAAATAACTGAATTTTTAAAGTTAATCGCTTTAGGCAATATATTTATTAAAATCAATTAGACTAAGCAATATTTTGCTAAAACTTAATATTCTTAGCAATATATATTATATATTAATAATTTAAACATTGCGTTGAGAAGATATAAAAGTCAGCGTTGTAGGTGTTATTTAAGAAATTATTGTGTTTGTCATTGCTAAATCTTGTATTTTTTCTAGTTGAGCAAGTGAAATTATTATTTCTTTTTGCGAGGAAAAACATCTGATTTTACTCATTTTTCACCAATTTGAGAAAATGGAAATAAAAATTGAATTCTTTATCGCTCTACTTTTAGCGATTTAGCGATAGATATTTTTTGTGAAATTTTCCGAAGCTGTGAAATTTTTTGAAATTCTAGAATTACACTCATTTAAAAATTTTTATATGGTTCATTGGGTGTCGCTTTTGTTCCGTCGTTGGATATGGCATTAAACTTGAATGAATGAAAAATGAAAAAGTTTTTATAAAAAACGCGTCAACTGCAAGAAAGCCATATTATTATTATTTTAAGATCATATTTGAACGTATTTAGATTTTAGGTTAAAATTTTATATAGGAAATTTTTATTGTTTGTCGTATTTGTCGTAATATTCTAAGGATATTCTAAGTAACGTAGATTCGATTTCGTCGATTGAAAATGCGAACTCATCTTATTCAGAACTTTAATTTAGTTTAGTTGGTGACTTTTTCGGACTTTTTTCAAATTTTTAACGTATTTTTAAACGAATCTTTTTTTCTCGCAAATTCTGAATTTATACTGGAATGATTGCAGAATTATAAGTATATTAGCTATTGGTAATAAATGCGGAGTTGGTTAAATAATATAGTATATTAGGAGTTTTAATACAATAATATTTATTTATTTAAATAAGATACATCCAAAGCGAATATTTTTGATGAGTTTAAAGTAAGTATTTAGAACTTGCCATTTCTGATAAGGCTTAGCCTACCGCGATGAGAAATTTTTGCCAGGAAGCAGTCATCACTTTATGATAGCAATAGAGAAAAGCGACCCGGTTTTAAATTTACCCATGCAGGAAGCAGCATCTGAACGTTCGCTAGAATCGATAAATGAAGCAACATTCACTCGGCTGTCATGGCTTGTGAGGATAAGGATACAATAGATTTTAACCTACGTACTTGATCGTCGTTTTTAGAATCGGGTTAATCATTTGTTGCAGATGTCAGGGTTAATAAACTCTTAATTTATAGCTTTACTGCAGTTAATTAACTTATCCGTTTCCTCGCCCAGACTATCCTAAACGATGGAGCGCTTTTTTTGCGCTATTGACTGATGTTGGCTGAAAACTGGTTTTTAGTTCTCCCAAAGGACTTGATAAGGCGAATAAATTTCTTTTTTTCTTATTGATTTGTTTTACGGAAGGATTGATTAAGAAAGAATGGGAAAATAAAATATGACGAAAAGGAAAGTTTCTCTATTCTCATATATTTTCCAGTAAGTTAATTTTCTTTTTTTGGATTTTGAAGTGGCGAGTGGATGAGTGATATTCGCAAATTTTGGCTAATATTAATAGGGAAGTTATGTCGAATTCAGGTGAGGCGCCGAACCAGAAAAATCCTTGAATTTACCTCAAGTGAAGTCTCTCAAGATAAGGAAAAATAGTTTGGAAAAAATTGATGATGTATTGACATTGGCTTCTTTCTTCATTTATTATTTCTATATTCTTCCACTTTTTTTTCATGGATTTTTTTCTTTCTTTCTCTTTTCCTTTTATTTTCGCTAGTGATTAACTTTTTAAAAAAAAAAAAAGCACATATGAGGAATAGTTTAAAGAAGAATATGGTGGAAGAATTTATGGGTAAAAAAAAAAGAAAAGTCACAAATTATGAAAATATTTATATCAGTTGAATTTGCCAATAAAAATTTCAAAAAATTTAAATTGTTTGAAAATCACGTCTCTTCATTTATTCTTCATTTTTCCAAAAATTCGCCATTTTCCATTTTATTACTGTTGTTCCATTGCCATGTGGTTTATCGAATAATTAACCTTAGTTGAAGATTTATTTGCATTTTTGAGAGCGCTAATGTTGATTCTTTTCAAGAGAAGTTTACAAAAAAAGCGAATGAATAAAGAGGGGATGATAGTTGATTTGTTAATGCTGGTGATATTTTTACATACATGCATGCCCTGAGGCTAACAAGATTAGTAAGATTTTATGAATTTTTGTTTCAGATTCTCATTGTCGTCAATTCGGTGAACGAATAAATAAATAGATGAGTAGATGAGTAGGTTCATTTAAATATTTTATCATTTTTTTTCCTAAGTTTTCTGTTAGTTTAAATTAGCTTTTTTTTCGTTTTTTTCTTAAATAACTCTTAGTTATTGTAATTTTAATAACTTTTAGTTATTGTAATTTTCTAGTTAATAAATATTTTATTAATGGAGGCGTTACGTCGTGCAGCATTCATCGTTTTGTTGCGTTTTGTCAGCGATGATTATCCTTTACTGCGATTGGAAGTTATATGGATAATCATTAGTCGGATTGCACTTATTAGAGTGGTTATTTATGTTTGTTTGGGAGGAAAGTTTTGGAATTCTCGAATTAAAGCCGAGAATTTTTATGCAAATATTATGATTTTTTGATTCATTTTTTATTTTTCCCGATTCGAACTAAATTTTTAATATTCTAATTTTTCGTGACGAATAATTCTCTAAAAAAAAAAAATTAATATTGAATATGAATGAGTTTTTAGTAATTGAATATAATTTTTCGACGAATAAAGAGTACTTAACAACAAAAAAAAGTTGATGAAATATTTTTTTTTTAGATTAGCACATTTGATAAATCTTTTGTTTTCCTTAGATAAAATTAATCATTTCATCTTTTTTCGCAAAGAAGAAAGTTCGAGTAGAGAAGAAATTTTGAATTTTTTATTTGGGATTTAATTGATGAATTTATTATAAATATTATTATTGCAATTTTTTATTTATTTTATCTATTTTTTTTGTTAATAGGATAAGATGGATGATTGCTTTTTTTTGTCAATTACATATGTGCTGCGTTGTTGTTGATTATACGTTTTTTTTTCGTTAAAGGACGACGCACGCTTGGCCAACAGCCATTCATCTATTTATAAGCCGTTAACGCCGCTAACTGGATAAGCAGTAAATCATCATCATCAGCATCAGCATAATTTATTTACTATCGCATTTTCACTAGGCCATTTTTATTTTGGACGAATCGTCGCTTAGTTGTACTTATTTTAGTTAGCAAAAATTTAAGCATTCGCCTTCTCCTCTTTTTATTTTCTTTTCTTTTATGATTGATGCTTTTTTTCATCGAAGAAGGACGATAGTAGAGCGAAAAAAATGGATGGAAAATGGAAAAAATTTCGGCTGCTTCTGATGGAAGTAAATTTGTCATTAAAGAATTCGAATAGTGCTAGCGAACTTAAGATTACAAATGTTATTGAGTGAAAAATGTTTTGGGAGGGGGGGGGGGGATGGAAGGGGAGGGAAAAAAAGGTGCATATTTGATTTGAAAGCAAAAAACTGATTGACAGTTGTTTGACATTATAAACACTTTTTTTTTATTTCTATATTTTTTACCTAAGAGAATTGTTCATTAATATATATTTAGGACGAAAATTTTGCCTAAATTTGTATAATTTCCATCGAATAATTTTAATAAAATTTGAAAAAACTTTTAGAGTAAAAGATAGAAAAAAAATAAAAAAGCTTAAGTGGGAGTGAAGAATTCGCTTGGCTGAATTTTTTAGTAAAATTCTTTGGTAAATTGTAAGTAATTTTATCGTTTTTAATTAGTCTTATTTAATTGCCTCTTCGCATGATTAGAAATTTTTACGAGGAGGACATTTGAGAATAATCAGTAGAGCTATTGATAAGAACCTTAATGCGAAGGTGACGAGCGGAAGTAACTTCTCGCTTCTTGAACTAATGGCTTTTCTCGAAGAGCAGTTATTTATAATTTTTTTCGATCGCTGCTTGAAAATCGCCTCGTAAAGCATAAAGTACATTTACATGTACATTTAAACATTATTCACTTTCCTTCTTATTTAAACTAAAATAAATATTTTCGATATTTTTTTTTTTAGGCGTTTCTTCAACACCCAGTCGTCTTCATCAAATAATAACTCATCTAGACCACAGTCAATCTCATTGGGAATTCGGCCAAATACGATTAATAGTTCCAGTAAAACAGCACAAAGTCGATTTAGTACAAACGAACCAATTCAGCCAGCTTCACCTTCATTTTCGGATTTACAAGGCGACCGTACATCTCTCAAGGTTATTTTTTTTTTAAATATATAGAAAGAATATCCCGCAGGCATAAATTCGAATTAGAATTGATTAGATAAATTGGATGAATTTTTCATTTTCCAATAAAGGAATTTGGAAATAATAACATAAAAAATTTCCTATAAAAATCGAGAACGGAGAGCTTAAAAATAACAAATTATAAATAAGCATTAATTGAAATAATTTTCATTAATTTCAAAATAAAATAAGCAAAAGAATTATCGAACTGTTTTTGCTAAAAGTTATTAGTAGAGATTCGTTTCATCTATTATTTTGGGTTTTTGCCTGGTTTTATTCTATTCCTTTAATCCAGACAATCATTTTTTTTTAATAACGTTAGCTTAATGGTTTTCTTTTTTTTGCAAAAATTTGATATAACTTGTATTTATTATTTATTTGTTCAGTTATCATCGAATATATTTGAGAATGTGAAGGAAAGTTTCGATGTCAAATATGAAAGTCAAATATTTTTTATATATTATTGTTGCATAATGGTGAGAAAGAGAATTTCTTTCGTGCATATGTCAATTATGTACGAATGTATGAATATTGAAACGAAGAAACGATGATTATTAATTTAAATATGAGGTGAAACCTGTCAAGGTTATTAAAATTTATGAGCGAAAGAGGTGAAGCTGAATAATTTACGCAGTAGGTGCTTTAAAAACTGAACACAATCGATATTATTGTGGTTTTGATATTTATTATATTTAAATATATATAAAATAAAATATATATTTTTAAATATAAAGAAATTCTGTGTGGGTTATATGAATCATCCTTAACGTCAGATCCTTTGCGTGAGGCCTACTGAGCTTGTCGATTCTACGCAGTTTCTTTTCTAGCAGTGCTGTGATTAATATTGTTCGTGGAGTTCGTCGAGGTTAATTTTCTAGTATAGGAATCTTCTAATGTTTCTCTCACTTGGTGTTGCTGTATCTATCAGCAGTGTTGATTTGTGGTTTTTGTCTACCATCATGATATCTGGTTGATTAGACGGCATTTGTTTATCTTTCTGGAGGTTCCACGGCATTTTTATCTTATTATCTTCCACGATTTTCTGAAAATCTCTCTTCTGGTCTAAGCCATATTCGTGCAGGTGATGGTAAATATTTGGTTATGCCTTTCCTATTTACATCTTACAGTTTCTGAGGCTCTCTTGCAAAATCTGTATTGTCCTGTCTGATACGTTCCTGCTTCGATGAATCTGGTGCTTTGTACTTGTTCTTATAGTGATCAATGCCTTACTGTTGTCTCTTCGTTTTCGTACAGCTTTTTCCAACCTCCTGCAGCATTTCTCAATGTCAGCTCAGTTGTCGGTCGGTGGCACATCTCATGGAGGATTTTACTTTACTGTATCTGATTTTATTTTACTGTATTACAGTATTTTTTGTGCTTATTCTTCCATCAAGTTATCCTTTGGTACCATTTTTTATCCATATATCTTTCTGTGCTTCCATCAGAATAGTGGCTTTTACCACTTATTATGCCCCATTTTCTGATTAATGTTCAGTTTTAAGTATTAGATTTGAGATTTTGATGTGTGGTGAGGTGTTTTCGCTTCTTCATATTGCAAGCCTTCAAGTTTTGCCAATCTCGCTGTGCTAGCTTTATATCTGATAACTATCAGAAAGCATATTCGTGGCCTGGATTTTGTTTTTTTTCTCGAGCTGATTCTGTCTTGTTCTGTGGGATTGTTATTTTCTTCCTTGCTTCTTTATCTTAATTCCTGTGGATTGCCGATATTCTTGTTGCTGTTCTATATGAACTTTACCTTTACCATCGCAGGAGAAATAGGGATTATATATATATATATATATATATTGCTAATTCATAATCAGATAATCCGTTGTTCGTCAATTACCTTTCAGAATAATTCAATAATTCCTTTTAATGTTTTTTTCTTAACTGAAATTATTTCAGTTACGAACTTATAACTTAACTTATAATTTATTTTAGAAGGGCTTGAGGCAACAGCCTTAATGTTAATATTTATATAATATAAAAATAATATAAAAATATATAAAAATAATAATAATAAAAGTATATAAAATATATAATAATATACAAATAAATAAAATTAAATCATAGTATTATTGAAAATATATTTGCGCTAATAATGTTTAATAATCTTATAAAATAGATTTATATCTAGCAGTATCATTCCACATTAAACAAAGATCATATTATATGCAGTTTAGATGAATAGAATCGAATGGTATCCTAAAGTATGTTCAGTTCTCTTACTATATAACGAATCCAAATTATTTGATTTTGACTTGTAAGTGGATTTGAAGTACTGATAAAGAACATAAATAGTTGATATTAATATTAAATAAAAATTTCATATGGTTTTTCATCACTAATCACTTCTTCGATTAGTAAATAGAAATTGGGTAAGGGTTCATCATCTGGTTGTGAAAAATCCTATTTTTAAATCCTATTTTTCATCATCAATTTATTGCGTAATAAAAATAAGCAGCTTATTTTTCAGTATGAATCTCGATCATTTTTCACAAATAATTCTCTTTATTCGAGCTTTTTTAATTATTTCCTTTTTTTTTTGTATGGATTCTATTTCCTTCTTTTTTGTTTTCTTATGAATTTTTACTTTTTTTTCATAAATTTATCTCTATTTTCATCTTTTTATTGAAAGTTTGAATCGTGTGCCTTTAGCAGGAAACAATCCTTGTAGTGCTCGAAAACTCGTTTCCATTTCTATCCGCAAATTACTCCTCCTTTATAAAATTTAGTTTACTCTCTTAATTGTAATTAGCCCAAGCAGAAATGATGAGTGATTTATTTTGCATCTTTATTTTTATTGATGCGTTCCTTTACTTTACTTTATAATATTTTAGATTTTAAACTCAAGTTTGGCTCAAATATTCAAATGTAATTTTATTTTTTTAAATGCATTTTATGAATGCTTTTCTCCCTCATTTCTTAATTTTTTTTTTTTTTTGCTACGCTTTGGAATGTGTCAAAAGCAGGCATTAGCACTTAATCTGTGAATATGTACTCATTAAAATATCATATACTTGTCCTCTCCATTCATCCATTCCTATATCCATTGATTCATAAATCCTTCCATCCTTTCGCTTCGTTTCGTGCAGTCCGTCCTTCCTTCCATCCATCCATCCATGCATGCATTCATACTTTCTCATCTTTTCATCATTTCTTCATCATCTCTTGATAATCGGTTGGCCATAGACACACACACACTCACTCCACGTACATACATCGGATTGCCTTTAAGAGCCAAATCAATAGAGGAAAACATATATATAGATATGTGTACATGTTTATGTAATACACTCACTGAGTGAGCACACTTACCCAGCATTCTTTTCGAGACTGAAAATTATAGATTAGACTTTGAAAGATAAATATAGTGTGAGCGAGGACGACGAAAATGATTTCGTTCTTCACTTTATTAGATAAATAATAGTTATTTAAGATGATAAATTATAATTATAATTGGTAATTGGTTTTTATTGGGGATTTAAGCAATTAACGCTAATTTTATTATAATTAGATTTTCGTTTTCTTTTCAGAATTTTTGAGGGTTTTTTTTTTAACTTTTGGATTTCGCGAAAGGCGATTTCTTTTCCCAACCACATGAAGAAAGGAATCTGATAGTTCGTGGAATGAGCACAAAATAAGTGATGCTAATTTGTAAATAAAAAGGAAAATTAGCAGTTAGTTAGATAGTGGCGGAGGAGACACGATAGCCAACTAAATAATACTTCAGATTTACTCGAATGTAAAAAATTCCGAAACGGATTCACCTATTTTTCTACCATAAAGTGGTTGCTGGCGAAAATTTCTAAACGTACTAGGAGCCAGCGTAGCGAGTCTGATGGAAAACATTGAACACATTGAACACCAAGCACATACTTCTTTAACTTAGATATTTGAGGAGAATTTCGTTTTTAGGATTTTTTAAGGCATTTTTCATATTATTATTATAAAATAATCTTTGAAAGTAGATAAGTTTTCATATTTTTTACACTTTTTATTTTCGCGCAGACTAAAGCTTTTGGGTTTTTTATTGGTTAATAATCAAACACCGCTTATAGAATTGAGATGTTCTCAATTTAAAAAAAAAAAAAGATTTCTAAAGTTTTTTGATATTTAGGAAGATCCCAGTGTGGTCTGTGGTGGTTCACACACTGTATTATCATCGTGCGTCGATCAGACGACTTCATCAAGTGCTCAAAAGTCCTTCGCTGCTCCATCCTGTCCATTAACAGTCCAACCAACAGCAACTGATTCGGCTATCGATTCGACTCTGTCGATTGTTGGTCAAACAGACTTCGATTTACCGCCACCAATGAGTGATTTGAGTAGTGCAGTTGCGGATGCTGCTGCTTCACATAATATTTCTTCGGTTTGCTTTTTATATCCTTGTTTAATGATTATTTTTTGCATGATCTGTCTTGATGAGAATATTGTTTTTAATATTGCTTTTTCTTCACCTAGATGGATTATCAGCCACAAGTTGATGAGCCATCTGCAGTAATTGCAACGGAAACCACTAGTGAAGGTGAGAATGAAGGTAATGAAAAGGAAACGAAAAGTGCTGAAGAGATGGCAAGGATCAAACGGCAGTAAGTCTTTATTCTTTATTCTTTCTTTTCTTATTATTCTTTTTCGTAAAGAAAACGAACGTTGCAAATAATCGATCTAAATAGTGCTAACTTTACTGATATTTATATTTATTTCTTTATTTATAATAGATACGTCCTTATGGAACTAGTAGAAACGGAACGTGATTACGTGAAAGACTTGAGTTCTGTTGTTGATGGATATATGGCAAATTTACAAACGATGGAATTACCAGAAAATTTAGTCGGAAAAGATAAAATAATCTTTGCAAATATTGCCCAAATACTTGATTTTCATAAAACGTAATTCATCATTTTATTCGAAATATTTTTTCGTCATTTTGATTTCTTGAAAATAGAGAGTCATCTTTTTAATTTTTTTGGTTTTTTCTTCAATCTCATTTCAATAATTTTCTTTTATCATTTCATTCTTAAGGACGAAAAGATTAAATACTATTCATTTAATTTCCTCCCATTATTTTAGATTGTTTTTGAAGGAAATCGAAAAGTGCCTTGAGGATTATGAATTTGCGGGTAGTGCATTCGTTAAATATGTAAGTTACCTTTTAATTTCCTTGCACTTTTTCCATTTTTCTATTCATGAAAGATTGTCGCTGATTGATTTGTTTAAAAAAAAAAAAATTATGATGGGAATGAAATGGGAATGATGGATATCAGTTTTGCTAGTCTCGGTTTTGCGATTTTATCGTTTCTTCGCATTTTATTGAATTTAATCATTATACAATTACCATAGATTGAAAAGAAAATAATTTTATTTATTTCAGGAACGTCGTTTGCATACGTATTATGTGAAATATTGTCAGAATAAGCCAAAATCGGATTTTCTTATGGCACAAGATGATTTCGAACAAGTTTGTTGATTTGATAGATTTTTGTAGAGCGGAATTAAAGAAAAAAAGATATGTAGCATTAAAATAAGGTATTTATAAAGTTTAATATAATTGAATATAAAATTTATGAATGAAAATATAATTTTTTATGAAATTTTTTTCAGTTTTTCGCGGAGACGAAACAAAAGCTTGGCCATAAAGTTGCATTATGCGATTTATTAATTAAACCAGTTCAGCGTATTATGAAATATCAGTTATTGCTCAAAGATATAATGAAATATACTGAAAGAGCTGGCGATCGGACTGAAATTCTACAGAAAGCTCAACAGGTTCTATTTCTATCTGAATTTCCTAATTGGCTATGTTTGAATTATTTAGACTCATTTATTTGAAAATTGGCTGCTTATTTATTTAATTTTACTATAATAAATAATATTAATCGATAAATAATCGATGATTGATCTAGTCTTTTGTCCATCAAATTTCAATTTTCAATAAATTTTGTTTTTTTTTACTTTCACAGCTATTAAGATAATTTGGTATGATGAAGAGAATAAAAGAAGAAAGAAAATGAATTTTAAAATCGTTCAGGTGATGCATATTGTGCCAAAAGCATGTGATGATATGATGCAAGTTGGTCGACTTCAAAATTTTGATGGCAATCTAAATGCGCAAGGAAAATTGATCTTTCAGGTGATTAATGATTAACAACCGCTACACGGTTATTTCTTTTGCCTTACATATAGATCCGCAGTGACAGGAGATTGTTTGTTTGGAAAACAAAGTGGTCAAGAGTGTATTTTATTTCGACTAAGCATGGGTTCAAATCCGTTCGTCTTGGCGGAATTATCATGTTATCAAAAATAAAATCCATGTGTTGAAACTGATCATTTTTAGATCTCTTTTAAACTATATCTAGACCTTTCTCTTCATTTTTTTTTTTATTCGGCATTTGCATTTACATTGATCATTATTTTTTTCAAGTAAATTTTTATTAGGTAGAATTTATTCAGCAAAAAAAAAACATTTTTTTAAATTTTAATAGACAAATTCAATCTACATTTAAAACAAAATTATTCACAGAAAAACTGAGTTCATTGATTATTATTGCCTTTTTCTGTTTTTTTAATGCTAACTTATATATTTTTTAAAATATTTAATATATTTATGACTTTTCCAGGGAACTCTCGCTATTTCCGATAATGCACCTTCGCAGCCATTTAAAGCGAAGGATCGTAGGGTTTTTCTCTTTGAGCAGTCTGTAATTATTGCTGATTGTATTCTTCCGAAAAAAGAATTTGGCAATCCGACATACATTTTCCGAAATCAAATTATGGTTAATAAGGTTGGCATCCAATTTTTATGTTGTTTGATTAAAATTGGTGAATTCAGCCAATAGACCAAATACAATTTCTTTAAAGAAGTTCGAAATATGATTTTGAATATTAAATTTACATTGATCCTTAATAATAGTATTCAAACTGCAATTTTTTTCGAGTAAATTTTCGTTAGACAGAATTTATTCGGCAAAAAAACACTTTACTTTTTAAAATTTTAACAAACAAATTCAATCTACCAAATTTAAAATCGAAAAATTTTGATGGGGTTTATCAAAGCAAAATTACTTTGAATTAATTTTGAAAAAAACCAATTCAAAAATTAAAAATTGGAAATTAACTTTTAGATGGTACTTGAAGCAAAGATTCCTGATGAACCATTGCGCTTTATCGTTCGTAGTAATGATCCTACGCAGCCTAATGCATTCCTCGCACAAGCTAACACTATAGAAGAAAAGAACGAATGGATTGCGAAAATAAACAGTCAATTAGATCAACAAAAAACTTTACTAGCGGCTCTGGTCGATCCAAAACGTTACCAGAATCAGTTAGCTGGAGGTGTAAATGCTATTTCTTTGTAAGTTGGATTTTTTTCCTAATATGTGTCATATAAAATATATTAATGCTATAAAAATGTATTAATTAAGTGCTGGTATAATTTTATAATAAACTGCATTGCTATAAACTAAAAAAAATCGAAAGCTTTTAGAGAGGAAGGATCGTCAGATAAGAAAAAGCCGATGTTCTCGCGATTAACGGGTAAAAGCAAAGAAAATCTTGTCAATGCACCATCACCAAATTCTAGTGGATCCGTGCAATCGCCAAAGCATAATTCATCTTCGAATAAATCGTCAAAATTGTTTGGTTTTGGAAGGAAGTCAAATAGTAAATCGACAGTTTCACCACCTCCGGTAGGTAAATTGAAATGAGTCAAACTAATTGGGGTCTTGCTAATATGATTGCAACATTTCGGCATAATCGAAATTCTTATTCTGATTATTTCATGTTGATCTCCGGATATCCCTAAACTGAAGCCGAATGTGATTTGTTAATTTTGCGTGAGAATTTATTTAATTATTCTTATCGCTTTTGGAAATATTTGCGCTAGGCTTTGGTTTTTTCTTTATTTTCTCTATTCTTAGTGTGCATATTATTTTATGCGCTTTTCTTTTACTGCTAGCTGCTGTTTGTTGTGCCGATTGTTCATTAATTAATTAATTAATTAATTCAACTCGACGATCATTATTTGTATAATCATTGTTTTCAAGTTATGTTTAATGGACGATGCTTTAATATTTATTCGCAATGATTCGTAATATTAACATTGATATAATTTAAACAAAATAGAATTTTCCTTCATCTAATGTCGACTTTAGATATTTTGATAATATCAATGTCTTTTTATCATTGATTATAATTTATAATAATGGTGTATAATTATAATAATGCACGTCCTTCGATTAACAAAAAGGCTGTTTCTACTTCTATTCATCTCCTTTTCTTCCTTCCCTCTTTTACGGGCAGAAAGTTTTGTCTTATTCATTTTTCATTCTAGAAAAATAAGGCTAAAATTGATGTATATATATATATAATTAGCGGATTTTTTTTTGTTTGTACAGCACTGTTTATTATTTTGCAAGATAATTTGTATACGAGAAATATGAATATTATGGTAGGTGGGAAAATTTTTTGTATAGTATTTATGTTAAATTTGATAATTCGTTCATATGTATCGTTCCATTTTTTCAGGTAAAAAAATTTTCGACATATAGATTAGTTTTAGCAGAAAAGCGTTGTGTTTAACGGCGGAAATTTGATCTGTAGTGGTTCATTTCTCGTATGCCTATTTATAATTTACAGATTTATCGTGTGAATTTATGGCATAAAAAAAGACGACATATAAAAATTAGGCTAGAATTTGTTAATAATAATAATCATAGTAAATGAATAAAATTTAATGAGAAATATTTAGTAAAAAGGAGGATATTTGTCGATATTTGTCGCTTTTAATGGTAGTTACTAGTATTATTATTTTATATTTTTGATTGTTATTTTCATTATTATTTATCAAATATATTTTTGTTGAAAGCTCATTAAAAATTTGTAAAAACGTGGAGAAAGAGAAATTTTTTCCCCATTTGGGTAGATTTTTTTTGGCCATTATGTATGAAATTTGTTATGAGAATTGTAAAAAAAGTTAATATTATTTCCAGAATTATTTATTATTAGTGAGAATAATTATATTTTTTGGACGACCAGTTAATCTTTTCATATTTCTTGAATCATCAAACGGTTGTTCCGCATTTTAGTGATTCGTTTCATAATTTTTTTGATAAATTTTATACGGTTATGAGAGATTTTTTTTTATTGTTTGTTACTCTATTAAATTCTTTCTGTTCTCTTTTTTCCCTTTCCTTTTTGCCTATTTAATTTAAGAAGATAAATTTCATTAAGGGGATTTTTCATCAAGGAGACCGGCAATTTATATAGCAACGTTTAAAAGCATGAGCACTATTATAAATGAATGGCAAATTTTGGTAATTTGGTGAAAATATCAGTTATCAATGGTGCATCATAATTATCATCTGTCAATTGCCATAAAATCTTTTCTTTTTATGTATTGTTTTACTTTCTATTTGATCTCTTTATATTCGTTTTTTTTGCAAACTATGATAAATATTTGCTTTTTAATGATGTTTTATTGCAGCGCTAACTTTAATTTTTAAAATAATAATCGACATTTTTTAAATTAAAAAATTGGAACTTCAAAAAAAGGAAATTTTTAAGTGAATTTATTTTTCTATCATTTTAAAGTTAAACAAAAATTCACAAAATCCACTTTTGAGAAAGTTTACAAAATAATTTTCATTTTCCTAAAATTTGTTATTGACGATTTCGGATTATTATTTTTGCTTCGATATTAAGGAAGGTTTTGCGTCATTTTCGGATTGCATGTTTTTCATGAAATGTTTTCCGATTTGCAAATTTTAGCAAAAAATATATCAATCGATGAGGTAGTAATAAAAGTTCCAAAGAATTGTGTGAAATTAGATAAAAAATAATCAACAATCGAATTACAATAAATATCTTTTATTATACAAATTATACAAATTTCAAATCTTAAAATTTTTATTTTACTTAAAATTTAAAAAAAACCTTTCGCATTTAATTTTTCAATTAACTATTTCAACGAATTGGTTTTTAAAGAGATTTTTTTTTCGATTTATTTAAACTAAAATTAGTTTTAAATATTATTGAATATTAAGAAATTAGTGAATTTAACATTGACTCAATGAAATTGGGAATTTTTCTATTTTTCAACTTATTTTTCAATCTAAATTCGCTTAATTCATTTTATGAAATTTCAACCGTATTCGCATTTAATTTTTTCATAATTATTATTATTTATTATTTATTTACTTACTTATTTAATTATCTATTTGTTGTTTAAATTAACAAAATGCATGGAAAAAAATAAACAATTCATTTGTTAAAAATAATTCAGCGTTTATTAATAAATTGAAAGCAACAAGCAAAGGCGAGCGAATATTTTGCGTGAGATTTTTGATTTTGTTAGAAGAATTTGTGAAAGTCAAGAAGAGGTGAATCGATTGGAATGAATATTTATGAAATATATGTAAAATTAAATAAATAATTCGTTTTAGCTGCTGCGAACGCCATCTGCTCGACTTAATTGCTCGTTTAAAGCAATCAGACCCGATCAAATTGACGGAAATCGCGGTGACAAGGTAGTTGACTCTCTCCACGTTAATCTTTTTATCACTATTTATCACAAAAGCCACGTCTGAAGACACAAACATCGATCTGCAAACTTACGTGAATTTAAACGAAATTGAATTTTAGTAACGAGAAATCGAGAGGCGAAGACCTTGGCTTCATGCAAAATGAGGATTGTTTGAGATAAATGAATCATGAAAGGGACGATTGACTTTAGCTTTAGGCATATTATGAGATAGTAAAGGTTAATCAAAGCGAAAGCGAAAGAATGCGAATAATTAAATTTTCAAAATATTTTATTATCATCGGAAAAATATTTTTGCTTATATATTTAGGTTAAAATCTTGGAAGTTTATCAAAGTGGCAATGCTAAAGTAGAAAAAGAAGATGGCGAAATCGGATATATTCCAACATATTTTTTAGAAATGGATTCTATTCCAGGCGAAAATTTCGCTGAACAAATTCGGTGAGTAGGTTGGATTTGGAGTTTTAGGCAGCTTTATTCGATTCGATTTGAATAAACCATTTTAATATTATATGAGAATATTAATAAATATTTATTTTAGCTTTCTTCTCATTCAATTGTATATATTCATTTGAATTCCACAAAGCCTTACGCCAGATAGTCATTTGCGGTGGGGGAGGGGGAGGGGGGATGGGGTACGAGTAGAAGTGCAGCATTAGTGGAAAACAACTTTCACTAATAGGTTTTACTATCGTCAAGAGGCAAAAAATTTGTGCCATGATGCTTAAAGTAAGTAACTGCTTTTGGCTTTTCAAAATAACAAAAACCTGTTCGTAATGATTAGCTTGTTCTTTTTCTTTGAGAATTCGGCTAATCTATAGAGGAATTGCATTTAGCAGTGGCGGTCACCAGATAGCCTGCTGGATCCTCGGCATCCAGCATTCCGAACTCCATATTCCATAGGATCCGAAAGAATTTGCTCAATTACTTAGATTCTATCTGCAATATTTAATGTTAGGGTGCGATAGAAAAAGCGATGTTCATTTTATTCTCCTGTATATTTGATCTTTGTTTTGATATTATTCCGTTTTTTTTATAATTCTAAAAAATTAAATTTTTTGAAATTTCCTTGATATCATTTATCTTTTCGCGTTTCATTATCAATAAAAATGCCTATTTAAATTTAATTAATTAATGAATATTTTTATTTCGTATGCTCAATTAATTGTTTCACTAATAATTATTTTTGTTGATTTTAATTTTTATTTTAAATAAATATGTATTTTCCTCGAAGTCATTTGAGAAATCACAAATCGGCTTTCATGCAATTGATAATGAAATGCAATAAAAGTGCATGATATTAAACGATTTGAAATTTTAAAAAAAAAGCAGATTTTGTGGGAAGGGAAAAATTTGGCTGAAGACAAGTAGCATCGGTTCGCTTGATAGGAATAATGGTGATTTTGAAAAAATTTGGGTATTGCCATGCACTTGTGGTTCTAACCTCAGGTGACTTTCTGGCGAAGTGATATCATATATTCCTCTTGCCAATATCCTCTGAGGAAAGCTATCAAGAAAGCTTGAAATGGTGCATAGAGTAAGAAAGTGTTATTCAGCTATTTTTTAGATAACTTATCTTTTAATTTCATCCAATCAGATGATGATTTTGGTGATTCTCTGTTCTACCATAAATTTTTCGGTGAATAAGCTGCTTTTCTATTTTAAATAAAAAAGATTTTACTTGCATTAATTTATTAATTTACGACTGTTCAATTATTTCAATTAATTTATAACTGCTGGAAAATATGTTATTTTTAAGATATCGGCGAGAATGGTACCAATATTTGGATGGTAATACTGGTAAAATATATGACGATGACGACAATACTTCTTCTCTTATTAATAGCCTTACTTTACATCCTTCACTTGCTTCATTCATTTCCACTCATCCGTTTCATCCTTTGTTTTATGAAAACCTTCGTCCAAAATGTATTGAACAACTAAAAGACATTAATGTACGGGAACATGAAAAATTTGAACTTCGCTGTTCGTTCGTTTCAAGCAAACCTTTTACGATCACCTGGCGAGGACCTGCCATTACACGGAAAAACGATTGTTTTATTGAAGTTTATGTTTAAGTATATTCATTAAAATAAGCGATTTGTTTAACTTATTAACTTAGTATTATATTAGCGATAATAGTGAAGAGACCAAATATAAAAATGGTAGTTCGAGATGCGGGCTTTTTTATTTTATATCGAAAAATTTCATGATTTAGAATGATAACAGTGGCAATTTTTCGTTAACCGTACGAGAAGCTTTATCAGAAGACAGTGGACAATATTGGGTTGAAGCAGAAAATGTTGATGGCAAAGATCATACAGTAGCATGGGTACAAGTACTGTCAAAGCCTGGTACACCTCATTCTCTCGATTACAAAATAATTGAAGAAAATACAATTCAACTGGACTGGTCAGAATCAAGAAAAGGTAATTCGAATTGTATATGGTACCGAGTGGAATATAAACTTGAAGGTAACATATTATGTTTTAGTAGTATTTTCTAATGAAATTTTATTAATTTGAATTTTTTGGAATTTTATAATCATGTTTTTGGTTTTGGTGCAGTTCGGCAAAATACGTACATATTTCCTAGATTATCATTTATGAAAATCTTTTGAAATTTGGCCCCAATCCATAATATTAAGCATAAGAAGTAGGCTCATTCAGGCAGTGCTTTTGACCTGTACTCCTATCTCTCGATGAGTTTCTGGCAAAATTGATTCATTTTTCTAAAAACTAGATGTAGTGGAGGATTATTCACTGATGTAGTAAACCTGAAGTCACTGCTAAGTTATGTTAATTATTTTTATCTAAATTACTATCCATTGTTCTATAATAATGGCTAAGCCATTGTCAAAAATCGGCTCAATTTCTCCTACATAAGAATGGCGATTTTTCTATTTATTCTAATTTCGCTTCATAACGCGCCAATTAATTTCAGATGAAGACAAGTACCAGGTTGCTGTGGAATCATTAACTAAACCATCTGCAGTGATTGATGGCTTAGTACCATGCGTCACCTATTTTTTTCGAGTTTTCGCATTCAATGAGTCAGTACAAAGTGAACCATCATTACCACGAGAAGTAATAATAACAATGGATGTCTATCGCTCAATGGCTATTAAAAAATTTTACAAAAATTTTGAAGAACCGGTAAACTTTTTTTTTAGCTCTTCTGGAAGCAATTACTTACTTTATTCAGCGTTCCAATATTAATAAACTCTTTTTTTTGAATTTCATAGATATCATATTTGAACGGAGATATCGATGGTTTTTATCTGATTAAAGAACTTGTTGGTCGAGGAAGATATGCAGATGTGAAGCTTGTAACATATAAAACCACCGGTAGAAAATTTGCTGCAAAATATTTTCGGCAATATTCATGCGTTAATGATTTCGAGGCGCTTGAAGAGATTGAACGCGAAATTCGACTTGTTCGAATATTTCATCATGCAAATATCGTCGCATATAGAGCCGCTATTCGAACTGATAATCGTATCATTCTCGTAATGCAATGGTTATCTTTATTTGCCTCTTCTACAATCATTTTGCATTTTATATAAATTATTCAGCATTTTTTGAAAATATTTTTAGTTGAGAAGTTAAAAAAAATTTAAAATTTTTCTTAACTAAGAATTCAAAATAAATGGACTTCTAAATATTTAAAACGATTTCAATGCGCATAAAAATAATTATATTTCTTTGAAAAGAAAAATTATTACAAAAATTACAGAAAATTGGATGCTTTCTTCCTCTTATAGCTGCGAGAATTTCGAAAATATCGCCCATTTAGCTTAAATAAATACCCCTAAAGAATATTTGCTTACCCATAGGCTTGGATTACTCTCTGATAGATATATTTATCTATTTTAAAGGGCTGGCATTGAGCTAATCGACTATATTATAAATTTGGGTTATCTATCCGAAACGATTCTTCGTAATCTTTTTCGTGGTCTCTTCGAAGCGCTAAAATATTTGCACTTTTATGAACTTGCTCACCTGGATATTAAGGTAAAACTTCAATTACTGAAGAGATGTATGCCACGCAAGCCATTTCTCGAACAGTTATAATAACAGTTATAATAATAATAATATAATAATACTTAACAATAATAATAATTAATAATAATAATTAATAATTAATAATAATAATAAAATAATAATAAAATAATAATAATTAATAATAATAATAATTGATAATAGTAATCAATAATAATAATAAAATAACAATAATAATAAAATAATAATAAAAAATAATAATAGTAATAATAATAAATATTTTTGTTACCAAGCCACTATTTTTTTTAAATTAAATAAATTGAAATCATCTTTTTTCTGCACCAAGTAACCACTTACCAATTTTACTAAAATGCTCCTAGTTACATATGTTTAATTTAATTATTAATTTAATTTATTTTTATTCCCAACGAAGGTATATCAGATTACTTATTGTTTTGCAGCTTGAAAATTTATTTGTCCACACCGATAATCGTCCTCACTTAGTTCTTATCGACTTTGGATCATGTTGTCGAGAAGGTAATGTTCCAACTGATATTATTGGACCTTATGATTTTGTTGCTCCAGAACAAATTACGCAACAGAAGGTTACGACAAAGTCAGATATTTGGTACGTTTGGCTCTGATTTCTAATGATTTATTGATTTAAAAATTGCTGTTACTGATAAATTCTGATAAATTCCTATTAATTTCTGTTGGTCGCTTTCGGATAATTTTTTCTTCAACTCATTATATTTCTTATTTATAAAACAAAAATATTTATTTTTTACAATTGGTGCACAGGAGTGCTGGTGTTGTGCTAAATATATTAATTTGTGGATCTTCGCCATTTCATGCTGATAATGAAGATATCATGAAATTTAAAATTTTACATGCGATTATGAATATTGAATATTTCAATCGGATTGAATCGATGTCGTTCTCGATGATTTCGTTTTTGGATGCAATCTTTGTCATCGATACTAAGTAATTTTGCTTTTTTCATTATTATTGAAATAAATAATAAAGAAATAATAAAGAATTTTGCCATTTCTTCCACAAAATTTTAATCCACAAAATTTTTTATTTTAATAAGAATTTTATTCGAAACGTGTGAGCAAATTATCACTTTATCAGCTTTAGTGACATTAAAAAATTTTTCAGTACACGCTTATCAGCTGATGATTGCTTGGAACATGATTGGCTAAACAAGGTTTGTTTGTTTTTTAAATATTTTTTTCGAAATAATGCGAAAATTTTTTTATAAGAAAATCGTGCATTCGCCACATTTTATTATTTTATCCAATTTACCAAATTTTTTTATCAGTAGACAATTTCATTTATCTAAAGTACTATAATAATAATAGTAATAACGATAAAGAGGCCAATGGCGTGCCCCTAAATTTTGCCCGAATTTATAGGAAATAGCAGAAAATTATTTCATGATCGACTATCTGCAAGATTATCGCGATAAGCGGAAAAACCAATTAGAAGGATCTTTTCAGAGTTTGGGCTCAGTTTGAGTTTCCATCTTTATTTATTCACTTCATCTCAATTAATTTACTTTTTTGTTTCCATTTTTTTCTTCGGCTGTGAGTTCGATCCTTGTCTTTTGACTTCAATTTTTATTAACTTTATTGTTTATGAAGTGACATCCGATTTATTGTTTTTTGAATGAAATCCATATGAAAGATTTCTATTTTTTGTTTTTTGGCAAAATGCAAAAAGCAAAATTTAAAAATGCAGAATTCTTTGTATTTAATCGCTTAACAAATTCTTTAATCGTTGTATTTCAAATAACAGGCAAATCAGTTACAAAAAGTGATAAATTAGTAAATAAAAGTTAATAAATTAAAGAAAAAAATCTTTATTCTCCAATTTTTTCCGTTTTCTGAAATCATTAAAATATATAATTTTATTTATTTTGCAATAAAAAATACTATTTATTATTTAGTGAATAAAAAAGAAATTGAAGGAAATGAGAGAGAAATTTTTTGATTCTTTCCACGTAAAAATCATCGTTTAAAGTTGAGGAATTGTATAACCGAAATCTTGTTTGATTATATCGGGAAATGGTTTTCCTTTTTTTGCCATCTGAAATTAGCATTAAATGCTAAAAATACTTTTTCGATAAGAAATTATTAAAATGGCAAAAATATGAAAAAAAAAAAACAAAACACATAAGAAATAGAAAGCGTTAGAAATATCGCAAAAAAAGTGGTTTCACGATAGACAACGGCATAAAGACTGTTAAGGATTGTTCAACCCGAAAAAGGATTCGGTTTTCCAGCCTTTTCCATCTGCAACAAGTATTCATGCATTATTATTTGTAGGAGAGCGAAAGAAAAAATTTCCAATAACAATAGCTAAGATTTGCTAAATGGTTTAATAATACAGTATTATCATATATATATATATATATATATATATTTTACCAAACGACTATTATTATCACAACGGTTCCTTTATTCTGGACAAAATATGAACCAATCCATTATTCTATCTATTATTTTCTAAAATAGAAATAGAAAAGCTAAAAAAAAAGAATCAAATAAGAAAATAAATTATAAATGAAATTCTAGTTAAAATATAACCAAAATAGTGGAAAATAAAGAAATTTGCCTCTAATAAGCTAAGTAAAAGTCATGCGAAAAATGAAATTGGTGATAGAAAGCTAAGGAAATGCAAGATAATAGGATTATGAGAAGAGCTGTTTATATAAAAAAAAAGTGCCTTTCACGCCCGTATGAGTGGCATGGATCTTTCTCGGTGCTATATGCACCGCTGGTTCCACTCCATCTACCAACTTTACCATTTTTCCTCTCTTTGCTACACTTTTTCAATCAGAATGACATCCTAATGCAGATTTATGTTGGATAATGAGCCTCTTTCGCTATTAGCATATAACATAGCTGATTCATTAAGGAAAGTCATTAAGATCATCCTGTTAGATCCTGTTTACTTTGTATAGCTCCAGGTATTCATGTGTGGGGCATTAAGTTATTTTCAGTAGTCAGTCCAAGCTGTCGATCTGTCGAGATAATGATTACTCCATCTACAGCTGGTATTTTGGGTCTCTGATGTTGTTGCTAATGCCTTTTCAAACTATGCGTATATATTAGCCCATAAGGTTTAGTAGTAGACCATATATATTGTATATATATATATATATATATTTGTATATATGGTGACAGGTGCAAGCCGAATCATGTATTTGTATATATATATTTTCACATAGGAAATATGCTAATTCCTATGGATATATTCCATATTATTACTTATAATTCTGAATTATTTCTGCAAAAATTAAAGGCTCATTTAAATAATTTTGGAATTTTTGAAATAAATCATTCTTATTTAAAAGGTTTTTTTCCAAGGTTTTTCTTTTTTTGCCATTAATCATTTCTGGTTAAGTCTACATTGTTGGCTTGTTAGGCCAGAAAAATTTTGCCAAGGAATTATCAGGGAAAGAAGTAATGGTGAGTTGTCAGAATTACCCACATTTTTGAAAGATTTCCTCTTCCTCCTAAATGAGAGCCATAATTCACTCAGCCATCCTTCAGCCACTTCTACTCCATGCCCCAGTTAAAAAATAAAATGAAAAAATTGCACTGTTAATAATAATAATTATATGAGCTAAACATGCTAAAAATAATAAAAACGACTTACAAGTCGACCGAGCGACAAGAGTGTGACACAGACAGAAAAAAGGTCACGTCCTTCGAAAAGGTCAACACTTTGAAAAGTTTCCTCCGTAGGTACACCAAGCTTCTTAGCAGCATTCACAAAAGAATTTATATTCTCCATGCAAGCAAAATTTGAGATAGGCTTTTGAATTTTTTTTACTGAATTTGCTTCAAGTGCATTTGCCAATCTTCAAAATTTTCGTTTTTACAATTTGGTGAATAATTTCGCTCATAATTTGGTGAATGGTGAATATAATTTGATGAATATTCGGGAATATTTATGCTTTTATGCTTTTATCTCTAAATGATAACTTCAACGAAGAAACGAATTTCACCACAAAAATATTTTTATATTTTCTTTTTTTCAACTTCTTTAATAGAGAGATTTTAAAGTTGTTACTTGCATAAAAGAGTGCCATCCTTGAGAAGACTGAGAAAATTTTCTCGATCACCACTTGTGTTGATGTTTTCGCCGCTTAATTTTTTGATCCATTCCAGAAGCGCTTGTCCTTCTTGCTCGTTGTATTTTGAGGCTTGCTAAAATTTCGCCTTATAAGCAGCATTCGAAATAAAAAATGGATTGAAAAATTTTTCCATGATCAAAAATTCTCTTTTGCATTTTCATAAAGAGATTTTCATATGAATTTTTTTTTTTTGATTTTGCTAAAAATAAAATTATAATTATAATTTTTTCGCTAAATTTAGAAAAATACGAAATTTTAAGAAAAACTCGAAGTGGAAAAATTAGGACGAACAAGAGAATGCATAAAATGATAACCTTTTGCATAACCGCGAAACCAATACCTCCGGCAGTAGTTCGACTTGACATCTTGCCGTTAGCCTTCAATTCAAACAATGCCTATGAATAAGAGCAGCAGCTATGAAATTGTGTAGGAGAACAACTGACTTGTGCATCCTCGTTGAATCCATTGAATCCATGCTGTATTTTGGTTGGTACAGTTGTTGTTTCTCAATCATCCGCACCTATATGTTTTTAATTAATCTTATGCAATCTCTTCGAGAATTATTTTCCACATTTTTATCATTTCCATCCATTATATTTGCAGATTGTCTAAGAAATTTTTCTATTTTATTGCTTATTTTTTTCCACTTCAATCCTTCCCACTCTTCTTTGCTTATCCGATCATTTGATATCGATTCATAGTGTCTTTTTTTTTATTCTCAACAATCCAAGAATTTTGCTTTATTTTTCATTAAATCTGTTTTTTATTTTTTAATGCTTTATCATTTATTTATTATTTATTTATTTTATTTATATTTGTAATTATTTATTTTTTTAGAAAACAATCAAGCAAAAAGTAATAGCCATGTGCTTTATTAATAATGAATAACGAATAATTTAATAATTTACAAATTTATTCGTTATTAATTTAAAAAATTAAAAATTTTTTAAATATATTGGGCAATAATAAATGGATTGAAATAAATTTGTGCGAAATCATTTCTAAATTTTATTATCTTAGAATAAAACTAAAAAATTTTACACTTATTTCGAACGAAATCGATAGAGAAATATAAATCAGCAAATAATAAAAGAGATATTTAAACGATTCAAATTTATTGCAAAAACAAGAACAATAAATCCACAAATCTGATAAACTTCTCTATGAATCCAGAACAACGATCGTGCAACCAGAATTTTTCTAGTCATATTTTTCATATATTTAGTATTTTTCACGGCTAATTAATTATAGTTGCAGAAAAATTGATTGTTGGCTATGGAAAAAAAGAAATCCGGATTTTTCTATTTCTCCAAAATTTCAGAGTTATTGTTGATTCAAATAGTTTTTTAAAATTTTTCGATAAATTGCGAATATTTCTTAATATTTCATATTTATCATGAGATTGCCAGCGGCATGATAGTCCGTGGATGATACTCTATTAATAAAAAATTATGGAATCATTTTTTAAATGAACCGATGGTGATCGATCTTAAGACTTGCTAATCAGCAGATCCACAGATACAATCACTTATAGATTCTTTTTTTTTAAGAGTCCTCACCATTACTGGTTAAATTAACTCCACTGGCTTGTCGCAGTAGGTAAATATACAGGGAGTCCCTTGGCGATAGAAGTACAGGAGGTGAGTCGCCAGCATCACCCGGATTTTTGGAAAGGTTTACTCTTCCTGAGAGAAAACCTCAGCATCGGCGCTCCAAACAACTTGAGCAACAACTTTCTGAGTGCTTCTATCCCCTATACTACAACTACAACCTGATAACTTGATAAACTCTATAAACTACGAGCTATTGGAAAAAAAGACAGATCAATATAAAATTTAAAAGAAGCCAAATATATTGAGAAAAATAAGGAATTTGACTGGAAAATTTTTTAAAATATTTAAATTACTTTTAAAATTTCGTCAAGTAAAAAATATCAAAATGAGGAAAAATACTGAAATAAACAATAATAATAAATAATGATAATAGAAATAAACAATAAATAAATCGAAAAAATAATAAATAGAGAATAATAAAGAATTAAAGGTAAAAATATAAATAAATAAATGAAAAACAATAAAATAATGAGAAAATGCAATAAGATTATTGTATTAAAAAATAAAAATAAAAAATATAACAAAATATAAAATATAAAAATAACTTGCTGAAAATTATACGTGATTGGCAAAAAATTGAAATAACCATAATAATCCCAGTGGATCCTAATCAGAACTAATGAGCGCTAATTATGCCCTCATTGCTCGATAAAATATAATAAATAAAATTCAGTTGAATCTTAATTTATCTGAAAAGATCCTTGCATTCAGGTAAACTTCTTTTTTCACCAGCGCTTCCTGAAACAAATTTGTGGATGGCTTCTATCTGAATTTGAAATTTGAAACTATAATGGCTTGGCTTTAGTCGAAGCAATTTAACAGAATAAGTAACAGAAGAACTTTTTTAAAAACTTAACGCTCAATTAAATCTCTAAATGAAAAGAATCAAAGAATTAAAGAGAAAATGAAAGTTAGAAGTAAGCCATATCCGGAATTATCCGGAATTTATCCGAATATATCCGGAATTTCTGGACATGTTCAAGAATAAAAGATGAAAGGACTTTAGGAGGATGTAAACTTTTTTTAGCCATATCATCTTAAAATCTGATAGCATTCGTCGCTATTACTGCTGAATTCTTTATCAACAAATCACTAAAAAAATTAATGTTTGCATTATCCAAAGCGAAATTAAAACTTATAATTATTTATTTCATAAATAAAATAAAAAATAAGAATAAAAAAATCAGTCAATGAGGTAAGCAATTTGATAATAATTTTTATTATTCGCAGAAAATTTATCTGTAGAAAATGAAAAATCAAAATCTATATCTTCATTCGAGTCGATTCCTTCATAATCGTCCGCTTCAAATGATCCGTGAAGATTGCTTAAACTGCTATCGACTTCTATAATTAAAATTTTTAAATTAAATTAATAGCAATTAATGTTTTTCTCGATCTTTTGCTTTGCTTATTTCACATTTGCCAAAAAATAGAACGAATGCGCCTGAAGCGCTTTCCTCACCCAAAAAACAACTGCTAATCGACTCATCATATTATCAATTGGTTTAAGCTATAAACGCTATAAATTTCATTCTTCTTCTTCTAATAGTTTTCGATTTGAACTCCACTGATCACTACGACTCAATTAGAAATAGAAAGTATAAGTAAATATGTCTTTCTCAACATCGGATTTATTCCCATCAAGCAATATTTTTAAATATTATAACATTATAAAAATATTATATAATATTAAAATATTTTTAAATATTATATTATAATATTATATATTTAAATATTATTATTAAAAATTAAATCTTAAAATATTAAAATATTAAAAATATTAAATAAAATATTAAAAATTCAATCTTTACGATAAATTTATTTTTTAAATATTATAAAATATTATAAATAAAAAAATATTATAAAAAATATTCAATAATAGAAGAAAACCTCCAAAAAAATCGTCATCATTCAAATATGATAAAGATGAAAAAAAAATGAATGGTCGAAAAACATAATCGTAATAATCGATGAGAATTAGTGTAACTCTTATTGCCCGCAGGAAACGTTTGATATCGTTAACTGAATGCGGGAATAATATTGGAGTAAATAGTAGAAGTGCATCTGGAAAATTTTTTTTCGCAATAACTTCTTTATGACTGATGAACCTATATAAAAATAATTTTCTTCTTCTTCGGTACCACTGCTGATTCGGCTGATCCCCCTATTATTTTCCGCTCTAGGGCATCATTTGGACGTAGTGTAAGTGCGAATATCTACCTGTATATGCATCGAGAGATTTTCCTGCAGATTGATTTATCAGATTCTTCAGCGATCGACATATTAAATAGGCGAACTGTCGAAGTAAATGAGGCAATGCTTCAATCAATCTTAAAATAAATCTTCGATAGCCTATTTAGATTTATTTTAATATTATTAAAGCCAATGCAAAACGATTCATAGTTGTTGGAGTTAATCATCAACTGAAAATTTTAAATTTAAATTTTTTAATTTTTTAAGCTTTCATATGAAAACTTAAAAGAAAAACATGTATACCCATTAACGTAGATTAAAGCAGTTTGAAGTGAGCATTCTGGTGATATAGAAACGAATTCTTCTGTGGAGTCGGCAAAAATTCCTCCAGGAAAACTGCTAAGGATCTCCTAAAATATAAATTTAAAAATTTTTAGGAGAAAATTCTTGAAAATAATTTTTGCAAAATAATATCTCTGAATGAAATGGACCTTAAGTGCCGTTACAATTGTATTCAAATCGATTTTCCACAATTCGTTCGAAATATACTGTTGTTTAGTCAACCTTTTCAATAATCCTTGAACTTCTAGAAATAATCTTAAGAAAAAGTGGAAATGAAGAAAGGGCGAAATAATAAAGCGAAAGCAGTCCTTATTTTCCGTTTACTAGAAGTGGAAATTTCAAAAAATTCAGAGAAAAGAGAAATTCACGAGAAAAAATTACGAGATGTTTTGATATAACGTAATCCTAGTCTTGTTCGTTGTTCTGGATTGATTTTCACATCGCATATAATTGCCAGAAAATGCTAAAAAAGATAAAAAGAAGTGTTGAAAAATATTTAAAAGAAAAATATATATAGAAAATAAATAAAAAATATAATGGATTCTTGTCACTTTCTTTCATTGCTTCCATTCAAGGCAATTTATCGTTATTCGACATTATCGTTAAATATTCGAATGTCGATTCAGAAAAAAATTCCAGCATTTTATTTTCGCTCATCTTTTAATAAGAAAATTTTTAGAATTTAACTTCATATAACTTGAATATAGAATGGTTCAGTCGATTGTTGCTCTTATTTTAGAGCGCCCATACTGCAGTTCTATTCCAAACAGCTGAATCTTCTAAAAATTTCAAAAACCCGAATAATACTGGCGACTCACGTGTACTTCTATGGCCAAGTAAATTCCTGGCAAGGTTTGTCTCGACAAGCCAACAGAGCGAGTTTAACTAATAGTGAGCGCTTTTAGGAAAAAAATCGCCGAACTTCATCAATTTTTGCCCGCAAACAATAAACATAATTTTCACTCATTAAGCCATATGAAATTGGTTATCCGGTCGAAGCTGAAGATTTTTATCACTCGGAAAGAAAATAATTTCATATAATATTATATTCCGGCAAATAAGAATAGGAGAATAGATAATTGTCAAGATTAATGCAGAACGAATTCTATTCACGGTATGATAAGCCTGTGATAAAAGAAATCCATTGGGTATTGTTGACGAATTCTGTCACCAAGCAACTTCAAAAATTTCCAACAGTTAGCCTAACCACTAAAAGAAGAAAATTTCAACGTTAATTTTTCTTAAACAAATTTCGAAACGAAAAATTCGAAATATTTGATGATTAAACAGTTTAATATCATTAAGATGATTGCATGAAGAACTCGTTTTTTTTCTTAAATTTTATCTTAAAGCTTTCTTGGATGAAAAATTTTATATATAATGGTAAACAATCATATCGGGAAAATCTAATATTTATTTATTCAAATAATTAAATATACAATAGTAATAAAAATAAATTTCTGGATATTTTCAAAACAATAAAAGTTAACTTCAATTTAAAATTATAAATATTCGAATTCAAAATCAGAAAATCTATAATGTAATATGAAATGAAATAAGCATTTATTGTTAAATATATAATAAATTAATGCTATATTTTTAAAATGGAACTTAAAAAAATAATAAAATAATAAATAAAAGTAATAAATAAATAATTTTTGAATTCTATCATACATTTATTTATTTTTCTAACAGCATTTCTCACATTTCTGGTTCGACTAATTCCATAGGTTATTGGGGTTCCCCTCTCACCAATCACCCATCACCATTCACATTTCATTTATAATTTCATTCGCATGAAAGAAATCGAATCCCATGGCCTTCATGGCCTTAGCCGAAGCCAATAACCCATTTTCACACATTTCATCCTGATTCCTCTATATGCATTTCATAGAAAATAGCATCATTTATATGTTATGTGGAGGAAAATTTCTATCTTCCTTTAGTCAATTATTTTAATTTTTTTAAAATTCTAAATGGCGACTTCCAAACCACATTAAATTAAAAAACGATTGTTTCATGGCTGTAATGTTCGATTCAAGTATGCCAATGACCTTCACTAAGATATTAGTTAATTTCTAAAGGATAACGAATAAATTGCTGAAATTATTAATATTGAAGCATCTCATAGGTTTATATAGGTTAGCAATGGTAGTACTACTATAGTCTATTATATTAGTGATTCTAGTGATTCTAGTTTATAAAAGGTAGAAAAGGTAGCGGAGAGCTCATAGTGGAATATAATAAACTCCGAGAAACCTGTATTGCCGGTTCGATTACGATTTCTGAATGCAGCCTTGAACTTATTTTTTGAAATTTTAGCAGCCGACTAGTGATAAATGGTTTCTGACGGCCATTTTCGAATCCACCGTTACCACTATCGATTCCACGATGAAAAGAGAATGCCAAGGTTAACAAAGATCGATTTTTTTTAGCCTATAATTAAAATAATTAGTGGTAACTTTGTTAAAAGTTTCTCATTAACCTATATTCTTATGAATTATTATGCATATCATGAACAAGAGGAATATTCCCAATAAGTATAATAACGGCGAGTATATAATAACGGCTCAGTGTGTTGTCGCTCAATTCAGAGCACCGATGCTGAGGTTCTATTTCCAACAGGAGTAATCTGTCCAAAAATCCGAGAGATGCTAGCGACTCACCTATACTTCTATCGCCAGGGGGACTCCTTGACATATTTGTCCAGTGCGACAAACCAGTGGAGCGAGTTTAACCAATAATAATGAAGACTCTTCAAAAAAATCACGGCGAGTAATACGATGGACGCATTAGCCATATTAGCAATTGTAAGGATTTTCAGAGGAAAATTTATAATTTTTCATTTTATCCACTAAATTATGTGCGTTGAGATGATAAGTGCGATTTACTATTTTGTCTCATTTTTCTTGAATTTTTACGATCTTTTTTTAAATTAATGCGATTTTCCGAAAAAGAAAATTAATCTGCGATTTTCGCCATTCGTTATTTTAAAAATGAAAATTAAAAATGAAAAATGAAAGTAAATTAAAATTAATGGAATTTTTATATGGTACGAAATTTTATTGGTTGAATTTTATTAAAATTAGTTTAAATTTTTTTGTGCCAAAAAAAATTTTTTTTAAAATACAAACCTGTAATTTATATTTCATCACCAGTAGAGTTCGTTTATCATAGAAATTAATAAAAAATAATCGTTCTGAATTCTGAATTCTGAAAAAATTTATATGCCGGTGAGTCCCCTTGGCATTGATTTTGATTTTATTTTAAGGTTTAACCTTATTAAATTTGATTTTCATTCTTCCTCAACTATCGAAATAAGCAGTTTAAAAAGACCAGCAATTTCGTATAATTCCGCTATTTAAACTACAATTTTAAAAAAACTTCGAGAGGAATGACCATATTTGTATCATTCTTTAGTTATTATAAATCGCCATTCATTATTACACTGGTACTTTATAAAAGAGATTAAGATTTTGTTATAAATGAAATTTATCGAAAATTTTCTTCACTTACGAGGTGAAAATGAAGATGCTTTTTACTGTGATAATCATGATAATTATGATTAGATCAGTAATATACCATACAAATTCAAAAACTAACCGGTTAGATTTGAGTAAAATAGTGATAAAATATTTGTAAAAATCGTTCAATTCATACACAGAACGGGTTGTTTATATGAGAAATAAGCGAAAAGATAGAAAGGGGAGAGCTGTATTCGGGCGTCAAAAATGAGCGAAAAGATGGAAATAGGGGAGTTGTGCTCGAGCATCAAAAATGAGCGAAATGATGGAAACGGGGGAGTTGTACTTGGGCGTCAAAAATGAGCGAAACGATGGAAACGGGGGAGTTGTACTTGGGTGTCAAAAATGAGCGAAATGATGGAAACGGAGGAGTTGTACTTGGGTGACAAAAATGAGCGAAATGATGGAAACGGGGGAGTTGTACTTGGGTGTCAAAAATGAGCGAAATGATGGAAACGGGGGAATTGTACTTGGGCGTCAAGTGACGAGCAAGAAATTTATGAGACATATTCCGTGATTCTTTCATGAATTCATTTATATACTTCATTCTTCCTACTAATAATTTTTGGAAATGTATGAAATGCCATCTATAAATTTATTTTTAATGAATTCAATTTAAAAAAAAAGACTTTTAAGGCATTTTGTCTAAAATGGATCACTACGATACCACAGATCCTTAAACGATGGTGATATTGCTTCAGCTTAAGTTTCAGCTACCATAGATTCAAGTGCTATCCTTTGAAACGAGTAAAAATGAAATCTTAGAAGTGATCGAGAGGAGGCTCACATGTACTTTTATCAATAAATGATGTTTCTTGCTCAAGAGGATCTCAGGATTATTCGACTGAGAAGAAAGAGACGCATGGTACTGGTTTTTAGATGTGCACTTGATGATTGTATGGTTAAAAAGCTTATTGCCAATAGGTTACCATTTCTTCCATTCAGCTTCTGCTTCTGTCATTAAAAAATTCGAGGACACTTTTTGCGGCAAATTTATAATTTATAATCTATCTCCAAATGAATCTCCAGAAAAAAATACCTTTCATCTTATTAAATGAGAGGAGAGCGGAATTAACTAGAAATTCCGAGTGCTGATATGCTTATTTAGCTAAGAAATAGAAAACTTATCAAATATCAAATCGTTTTGATTTATTTTATTCTATTTTTTTAAATTGAATGATAAATACATAAAATTTTTAGTATAAATTTAGGATAATCAATCTTATCGACTGAAATATTTAAAATAACTGACCATTATCAACTGTATTATATTTCCCATTTGAATTAATCAGTTGACCATAAAAATATTTCTTTTAAATTTGGGTTGACGATCGTCGTACGTTTGCCTTACAATAAATATATAATTGCATACATTGAACCATTCTATCCGCTTTTTTTAATTTATCAATGATTATCTCATTGCAGTTTATTTGGATATAACTCGTTAACTATTTATCACTCGGCTATCGTATTCCCCTTTTACTCGCCTATCTTCCTCTACCTCTCTCACTCGGCTATCCTATTTCTCATTTTTGTTTGCAAATATTTGCAAATAAATGAATTAACGAAAGAAAAATTTTTACGATTAAAGATCAACAATTTTAATTTAAATTTAAAACATAATAAATATTTAAAAGAATGAATAATAAAAAATAAAAACAAAGAGAAAATCACTGAAAATATTTAAATTATTATAATGATTATTAATATTGTTTTGTTATTATTGATAAAAAAAAGAAAATATTAATATTTATTATTATTATTATAAGAAAAAATTATTGATAAAAATAGTATAATAATAGATTATTCAAAGCGATTAATTATTATTATTAATTATTTTTACTTATTTAATATATTTAATATTTAATATATTATTCAATATTTAATATATATATTTATTTAATATATTTAATACATTTATATTTAATATATTTACATATGTTTGTAAATCTATTAATATTTTTTTATTTTTATTATTTATTTTTGTTAATATTATTGTTATAAATCACTATTACTATGATTGTTCATTAGTATTATTTATGAATATTTTGCTTTCCGAACCTTCAACATTCAACTTTCGTTGATTGATAACATAGCAATAATTTAATAATCTCTTTTTCTTTATCTATTTGCCGTAATATTTCTTAAATTTTGGCATTATTCGATGGATTTTCGAGAAAATAAAATAAAATAAAATCAAACCGGCAACTTTCAACTTCCGTATTTTATGTACATTTTCGTCATTTTATGTATTAAATACAAAACGAAATAATCGCGAATCGCATCCTTTTGTTTTATCCATATTATTTACTGGTGACGAAGAGACCAGTGGACCCACAAGCATTGGTAATATACATATACAGTAATGATTTATAATTCTTAAAAATGCCAAATTTCAATTAAAAGCCAACCATTTTCCCTCATAAAAATTCAAATGAAGAATCGCCATTTTAATTATTGCTATATACATATTATAGAGGAAGGATAGCCGAATGATAGAAATTATCGTCTTGGGAACCAAGGGTTCCATTTCTTCCTACGGGAGTAAATCTATTATTAAAAAAACCAGGTGGTGCTGGCAACATCATCTGTACTTCTTACTTCTTTTACCTCTGCTATGTAGCTCTAAAGAAAAAATTTCCAACTGTACTAATAACCAGCGAATCGAAAACAATGAGTGCCAACTGCTCGCAAATTTAATATTATATCATTTCACTCTCGAGAATATTTATGGTTCGAGAATATTTATGGTTCAAGAATATTTATGGAACCAAAGCAAACCACTGTGAATCGAATTGTACTTCAACATGGCTTATATGAGTGGCTTAATTTTTTATTTAAACTCTGTATAATATGCATACAGTTGGTATTTAATGGGAACATGTGTCTTAAATAGCTAATCTTCAGTTCAGCATTCAACCAAGCTTCGTACCAACCAACACATTCCGCTACTCTACTAGTTTACTCTAAAGTAATAGCCTCCTTTTTATTACGTATTTGCAATAAGATTAAATAAAATTGATAAAGTTGATAAACTGAAACTGATAAACGACGCGCATTCAGACTTTATTGAATTTACTAGTAACTAATAAAATTTCAACTATTTGCGTAAAATTTCAATTATTATTTCCGAAAAGAATTGATAAATATTAAAATTTCATATAATCCGAACGTAAAAACTCGTTTTCCTCCTAGTGTTTTTATTCATCTAACTTCTTTTCTTTTTTCCAACGCAAGTACATCACCTAATATTATTGGTACCTGGCAATTAATAAGTATAAAATAAGAAGAGATAAAAAATTTATCCACATAAATGAAGTTCAACATGATTTTCATGCGTATAATGGAAAAACACATAAAGAAAATTAAAAACCATGAATTTTGCAATTTTCTTCTTTAACTATACCAACTCGACAAAGAAAATCTTTGATATGCTGCCTCTGATCGCCAGTTAATTGAATTACTTCCCCATATTCTGGATGGTCCACTGTCGTTCCATTACAGTTATATTCCTGAAAATCGAAAATATAAGACTAAGGAATATGAGCAATTTATTGAAACAACTCAATAAGGAATAAAAAGGTAATTAACTAACATCATGGAATATCAATTATATTTATAATTGCACATTGATGGATCATTTTATTATTTAACTCAAAGAGAATTTAAATAAACATCTAAAATTTAAATAAACTCATATTTGGTTTGAAATTTGAATAAAAATTTTTATTTTTATATTTTTCAGAATTTTATTTCTTCAATTATTGGAGTAAAGTAAAATTGAATTAGCGATGGGAATATTCCAATAATTCAAATATTAATAATCGCAAGTTAAAAATGAATATATTTTTTCTAATTAGTTTTTTAAAACAAGTTCAAATTTAAAGTAAAAAAATTCTTTGAACTGCTAAGAATAAAAGCAAAACAACTGGTACATTTTAATGCTTTAAACCCTTTCCATATACTTTTGAAGAAATTTATTTAATAAAAATTAGAAATGAAGAAAATTTCCTAACTAATCGCTATAATTACGAAAATAATAACAAATAAAAAATTAACAAATTTAAAGGGACAATTTCGAAATATAAAAATATTTGAAAATACAGATTTTATTTTAAAAAATTTAGAACAAAAATGGAAAATTGATATATTTCCCTCTCTAAATGAAAGCAGAATATCGCTTTCTATCAAACGCATATTCAGTCAATTCGGTCATATATGCGTTTAAAAACATAAAAATTATTTTAAAAAAATATTAAAAAAAATTTAAAAAAAATTATTTTCATTACATATGATTCAATAAAGTGAACTGGAACAAAGAATTATAATATAATTATCTGCTCGTTGCGATAAAGGAAAATGAGTATGAAATTTTCGTGCACAAACATGAAAGTTGTTTTGCGTGAAAAATTCTTCCAGATTCATGAAAACTTTTTCGTAAAGTACAAGATAATGAGAAGAAACTACTAACTGCTTATTAGTGTTTACCCAAAGTAAAGGATTCAAATGAAAACGATCGGACTCATCGATATAGGATGAAAGATTTTTCAAATTTGGAGTGCAATCAAGTGAAATAACAGAAACGTTAAACCTGTGAAAATGACTATATTCTGGCATTGAATAACAGGGCATTAGGTACAAAACACTAAAATCCTTCTGCGAACCAAAATGAACAAACGAATGCTCTCGAATAAATTTCAATGCCGAATTAGGTCCGATTTGATGAAACAAACCCATATAAATAGCTAATGGTACATTAACTAAAAGCATTAAAAAAATCAAAATTCTTTTTGTAAGAGCGAATTTTCGAAGAGTATGGGCTAAAAAATGTCCAGAATAAATGCAGAGAAAAGGTATAATGGGAAGTATGAAACGATGTTCCTTATGAGCGAGTAAAGAATGAACAAAAATGTAAAAAAATGGGACCAATAAATAAATAAAATGTATAGAACGATGCTTAATAGACGAATAAATTCCTCCAACAATTGGCAGAATATGAATGGTAATAACTGAAACGAGACCTTGCGACAAGTACCAATGCCATGGATGGACGCCAAAATGAGCACATCCGCCATCAAAAACATTAAATTTTGCGAAGTTCCATGTTGAAAAAGTTAATTTATGATATGCGAATGAATCCAGTATACATGTAATGAGAATCACAGGTAAAGCGGCAGGAATATATGTGTAAAAAATCAACTTTATCGGTGATCGAGAATGAAGCGTACGCCATAAACCTAATGGTATCCACAAAAGTACTGCTGTTGGACGAATTATTATAGTTAATACAGCTATTGAGACATATGGCCATTCCCTTAGTACTACTAGGTGATCCGCGTTTTCTGACATCACTGGATACCAATTAAGAGCGATTAGTGTTAAAGCGGTTTCAAGTGAATTTGAAAGTGTTCTTGAAGCACAGTACCAAACAAACCAAGAAGACAAAAGACTGAAAAGTGAATAATTAGCGGCCGATAAAGTTAGCAATATTCGCTTTGCAAATAAATAAAAATAATAATCAGAGAGTGCGAAAATAAGAGAATGTAACAATCTGGGCAAAATAATAACTAAGTAATTAGTATCAAGATTAAGGAAACGAAGTAAATAAAATATTGCAGCGATAAATGCTGGATGAAGAACAGAACGTAATGCGCTAGACCATTCCCAAGAAAGATGTCCATAACCATAGACAGAATAATATGCCACTTCAACACTTTGAAAAATCTCATCAGGAACAAACCACGTCTTGATTGCAAACATATTGATTAAACGAAATATAACCAATAAAAAAATTAAAGTCGAAGATTTCATTTCACTGCAATAATCAGTCTACTCAGAAAATGTTATCACTTGAAGTCAAAATATTTTCTTATCAGATATTCTTTGAATTCAGACGTCAAATAAACTTAAAAAATCTCAAGTAATGTAAAATAAAAATATATTTAAAAAAAAAACACCGCAAATATAGCAGAAAATTTTATTGTCTTTCACTAAATAAATAAAGAAATAAACTGAAACATACTCTAAAAATATTGAAAAAAAACGAACCTTTTTCAAATAGCGAACAATTTTTTTCAAATCATATTCAGGTGCAATTCCTTGAACAGTTGTAATCGTTTTTCGACCAGTACGTTGCTGAATTCTAATATGGCAAAAGCCTTGACGTGTACCTTCTTCGTCTTCTAATTGTTCAAAAGCGTCTGTAATAATTGTAAATCAAATAATTTGAAATAATTTTAAATAATTTTAATGTTAATAATAATAAAATATTTTAAATATTTTCAGAATTTTCTTTTAATGATTTCTTAAGTTTTTTAAATTAAATATTAAAATATTTGCTGAAATTTGCCAAGAAATTTCCCAAAAATGCCATAATAAATAAATTCATTATTCGCTATAAATTCATTAACATTATGCGAAAAACCCTTAAAAGCCTTCTAAAGCCTTAAAAAAACAGGAAATCGAAGGCTTAATTTTAGGAATGGTTGTGAATTGAAATAGCCACAGCAGTTAAAATCAAAAGTTAATTAATTAATATTAATATTAATTAATTAATATAAATTATAAAATAAAATGTAAAATTAATTAATATTAATATTAATATCAATTCCAAGGAAAAAAAGGTAACCTTTAGGTTTATTTAAATTTTGTATCGAAGATGACATTAAAAATGAAGTTTGTTTTCTGATAAATTAAATATAATCAATTAACCAATCGACTTTAAATTTTAAATCAATGCAATTTAATCTGAAATTTTAGTTATTGAAAATAAAACGTAAGTGAAAATTTCCAAAAATTCACCAACTAAGCGTAAACCACACGTGCGAGGTGTGAAAATTGCGCGAAACGTAATTAGTAAAAAATTGACAAAACGCAATTTTCATGGATAAACGTAAAAAAAACTTTGAAATTGCGCGAAATTGCGAAGATTAAAACTTGAAAAGACGCAATTTTCATAAAGAAACGCAAAAACTCTCCGAAAAATCAAGAAAAAATTAACGTTAAACTTTATTCAAAATTGCAAAAATTTTTTTAGGGGAAAAAAAATTTGACCGCTCTTGCGGTGCTTTTTTTTTGTCGAACCTAAACTCCAAAGACAGATCGAAACTCGCGAAAAACCCACAATTCACCAAAATTCCGCACCAATTTTCTCGACGCATTCAGAAATTTGGGGAAAATGTGGGAAGATCTATGTTTGCGCGACGCTTCTCGCTAAAATCCAACCTCCGAGTTGTTTTCACATTGCGGGATTCTAATTGGTTCAGTTGTTGACCCAGTCTTAACCGTTAACTATAAATGAGCGATTTAATAAGGCGCGCCATGTCGTTGATACATTTTTAGCAGATTTGATTTTTTTTTTAGCTGAAAGTTGCCTATAATATTGAAATAAAATATATTATTGAGATTGTTCAGTATTGGTCCCCCACTTGACCTTTGTGACCTTTGTGACCTTTGTGACCTTTGTGACAAAGAAATTAGCTCTAAAAAAGAAATCGATTGTCCAATTTCTCGGCTTTTAAGCATCATTTATGTGTGAAATAATGCATTTGTGCAATAGCCAAGGTGATTTTCAATATTTAATTCGCAACCGATTACTGATTTAAACAATCCTCGGATCCTCCGGTTCGTGGACATTGGTGAATTTTCAACTTTAGTAAATATAGCAATTATTTGTGGTTTTTTAGTGGTTTTTATGATCGTAAATTCAGCGAGGTCAGAGGGCAGAAAATTCAGTACGAAAGGGAATTTTCAGGATGAGAAAAATGCTGATTTATGGTTGGAGGAAGGGGACATTTTCTTTTTTCATTTAGCCAATTTTAATAAATTTTATTTTAACGAATCAAAAATCAATGGTAAACCAGGTCGATGAGGAAGTGTGAGGAAAGTTTGCACGGGAAACAAAAGTGGATCAGCTGATTTAATTACGGAAGTACGCATGAAAAACATATGACTGACGCATAACGCTGTCGCTGATATTCGCTTGAAGTCCCGTTTTATTTTTCCTATCGATTCATGTCGAGTGATCGATTATGATGATTTACGTTATAAAGCGTGTTATAAACTATAAGAAGGAGTTTATAGCTGATAATGGATGATAAAGGATAGAGAGCATTTTTTATCAGTCATCGCTGTTTCGCTGTACAGTCGAGAAATTTGAAGTAAATAAGGAATATAAAGTTTAAAGAGGAATACAAAGTTCCTTTGCTGATAAGGAATTATTATTGATAATTTATAAGAAATTATGATAAGGTAACAAAATATGAGGTGAGAAATCCATCGGCAAACATTGTGAATGATGGAATATATCTACGAAAAGCCGGATTGGCTGCTGCTTACCTTATCTGTGCTCCTGTCCCCAATTATTTTGCTCGCTAAATGGTCTGGCTGCGGTATTCAATGCAGCCAACCATATATAGGAGGAAACAATATGAAATTTCAGACTTGGAATGGGTTTAGGTGCAAGTTCATGTCGTGATAATGATGATCTTATTGATAAGTTGGTCGAAGGGAAATTGGTTACATCGAAGAGCGTCGAGCTTATTATGAGGTGACAACTTTTTTTAAACATTTTCCATTTTTCTAATTTTTATTTTATTATTTTATTATATATTATTTTACTCTAAATAATTTATTTTAATTCGATAAGTATCAAACAAAAAGAATTTTAAAAAAAATAAAAATAAATAAAAAAATTTTTTAAAATTTTTCCAAATTTAAAAAAGTTTTTGTTTTGAAATTTTTTTATTAATTTAATTTATTTTAAATCTAAAACATTTTAATTCATTTTAAGTTTAACAAGTTTATTCTCCAATTTTAATTAAATTTTAATTTGAAAAGAAATTTTAAATTAAATTAAAATTTTTAGATTAGTTGATCGTTCGCTTTTTTTTCCGAATGATTCGAAATCATTTGCCTATAAAGATGTTGCGTGGAAAAGTGTTGCTGGATCTCCAGGTCATTTACATATTTCAGCACCGTGTATTTATGCGAATGTACTTGAACATTTGGAACTCGAAAAAGGTTTATCGTTTTTAAACGTGGGCTCGGGAACTGGTTATCTCAATACTGTCGTTGGATTTTTTCTTGGTTTGTTTCTTTTAATGTCGTTGAATTCTTTCGTCGTTGTTTATTTTAATGGAAAATTATTGTCTATTAAGTATTTTGCGCAAAATAAAAAATTTTATTGCGCAAAAATTTCCATTTTTCATTTTTCAATTTGATTAGTTTTTTTTTATTAATTTCATAAAAGAACTAAAAATTTGGCCCAATTCTTTTTGTTTTAATTCAATTCTGAGGAAATTTAATAGATAAATTTTTAGTTATAAATTTATAAATTTTTAGGCAGTAATGGCTTGAATCATGGAATTGAATTGCATCCGAATATAGTGGAATTTGCACGCGCGAGAGTATTTGATTTTTTAATTAGACCGGAAGTACAGTGTTATGATTGGGCAATTCCGAGTTATTCAAGTGGTAATGGATTAATGCTCCATCCTATATACAACTGCAAATATGATCGAGTATATTGTGGCGCATCGGTTCCAGAGTCGCATCGAGAATCTTTATGGGATTTGCTTAAAGTTGGTGGAGTTTTGGTGATGCCTTTCGATGACCAGGTAATAATGATGCTTTTCGCTTTAGTCGTGCATTTTAAATATTCTTTCATTTTTCTTCTCACGGTACACCATCGAGTTACATCACTGATGATGTGATATAAGAGTCGCAATACAGAACTGATGCAATCATGTGAGGTTTATCTACATGACGAATGCATAGGATTTACTTTAATGATCAAATATAGACAACTTCTTGGATTCTTACAATCTTACATTATAAATGGCCGTGTATCGCATTTGCATATTAGTATTGTGCGTATACAACCATACGCGAAGTTTTTTGGATCGATTTCGTAGCGATTTGAAGAGGCCCAATTTCATCTCTCACTTAAAACGGATGCTTCTTTTTGTGCTTTAGCCTTGCTAAAACAGATTTTACAGAAGAGGGATTATTTTTTTAATTCTTGGTTCCTTTAGTTGCATACTTTTCTGTCGATCTAATGCTTCTTGCCCCGAAATGCTTTTTATTTTATATACTTATGTGCGAATTCCGAATGGCCATAGGAATTTCCAGAATGTTTATTAGTTAAGCTGGAATTATACCAGCAATTATAACAGTAGAATGACTAAACCACGGGCTTATAAGCACAAACCTGGTTAATTAATTGAAAATAAAATAAAAGAAATAGTAAAAAACTAAATATCGCAAACAATAAGAAGAAAATAAAAAAAAATTACGAAGAAAAAATATAAAAAACAGAAAAGTTGGAAATTGTTAAGTTTTGTCAACAAATTTCATCCTACTATAGGAACTATAAACTATAAACAATTAAAGAACTGAAAGAATACAACTGTAAAATAATAAAATAATATTTGAAAGCAGTGGGATTTTACTCTCCTGCTTCGCGATACTTATTTTAGAATGACCTTGACCTGGCTGCTTTATCAGGACAGTAAGCAGCAAACGCCGATCACCGTACGCAAAATTTTTGCCACCTCAGACTTGGGTAATTAAACCTCAGTAATATAATGATAAGAAATATTCGATATTCGATACAAATTAAACCCTTAGGCTAAAAAAATAACTCTCAGAACAAATAAGAAATGGTTAAATAAAGGATATTAAATAACAAAAGGGTTAAATATTGCAATGTTGAGCACCATGAGGAAAGAAGTGAAGAACGATTTTTTTGAAAAGAATGTACAATATACATTATAAATTGACCCTTTATCTTTTATTGACATATGTGAAAGCAAAGAATTATTAAGTTAATGAAAGGTTTCATTTGGTGGTTTATTTGGTGATTTGATTCCACCAGTTTGAAATAATGAATTTGAAATAATATAAAACATCGCAATTCATAACACTGTCGACCGCCAAAAGGCAACGAACCAAAATCTTTTAAGCTTCTGCAGTATCATTAGAATTTCGTTTATTGGATTCTGTGTTTTCGGGCTTTCGGAATAAAGGTTTTTTATTTTTTGGATCTTAGGTTAAGAAAACAAAATTTTTAGGAGATCGACCTTGCCGGCTTTATAGGTCAAAAACTAAAATAGGAAATGATACCAATATGGCAATAATTAGAATATCACTTGGGCGATACAGGAAATTATTAGACATTTCATGTTCATGCTCTATTTGAATGTATGACCATGTTGTACTGAGGAAAATTCTGCTGGAATTTCTATTGGAACTTAAATAGTTAGTTTTCCAGTGATTCTTCTTATACAGAAAATATTTTCCGATAATAGAGAAGCGAAAAAGATTTAGGAGGCTGATTTAACAGTGGTTTTGTATATGAAGAAATGTTCGGGCGAAAATTTTTTCTGTGGGCTGCCACCGCTGTCGTTATTAAAAGTTCTGAAATTAGGATTGTTTCATTTTTCTGATCGTGAGGGTATTCGTTGGAATTCAATTTTTTTCTCACATATTTCCGTTTGACAAAGATTTTGAGATTCCACTGAGGACTCTTCAATAAGAATTAAGATGGAAGTATTATTAATATCTTCGCAAAAATTCGTCATATATCTCAAAATTCTTTGCTTGCCTTAAGCCATCGAATGTCCTGATTCTTGGAAGACAATTGCTCTAATTCATGATGGAGTGTTATAAAAATTATTTTGTGAATTGCCGTATCGGTCCTCAAGAATTTTCTTCCCTATAAGATTGCTTTTCAATTGGGAAGCCTTCAACCAATTTTTACCTCTCCATCTAGGCACGGCATCAAATATTTTAGTTTATCGACTGGTTGCTTGAATCGATTGAGAACAAAAAATTGGCTCTGAATGAATATCAGAGCTGTATGGCTCCATTAAATCGAGATAATTGCAACTTGAGAAATTGCATTGAATATTTGGCTGGGATTGAGGGAGAAGGGATTGAGGTTGAGGGGATTCAACTTTAAGTTTTAAATATTTTATTGATGTACTTAAATCAGTACTTGCAATTTTTGATTTTAAAATTAATTGTGAATAGTTTTATCTTTCTTTTATCCAGTTTTTGTTTTCTTTAGAATCGAGTTCGTTAGAGATCACCATATGGGAGGCTTATTCTTTGCTTTGATCAATACTACTCTGAAGAGCACCAGAGTGAGGAATTTAGTTTTTTGTCCTTCGAGGTCGCAAATCTTTGATAAATAGAAAATCGAGGCTTAGATTCATCCTCAGAGAGATCTCTTAAACTATTAATTTGTCTTAAGAGAAGGGTAAGTTCCTCTTTATAATGGTCCGCGACCTCTTTTATTTCAGAATTCATTGTTATGGAAATATTAAAATATCGAAATGTAACGAAATGTAACGAAGAAATGATTAAATAAAGGATATTAAAGGATAAAAGGATATAACAAATAAAGGATAAAAGGATATAACAAAAGGGTAAAATGTTGGGATCTGAACGCTTGGGTCCCTTGATGGCTCCACAGTGAAGGAAGAAGAACGATTTCTTTGAGAAGAATATGCAATATATGCATTTCTTTTAAAGTTCTCACCATTACTAGTTAAACTCGCCTCTCTGGCTTGTAGTATTGGACAGATATACCAGGGAGTGCTCTGGCGATAGAATTCCGGATCGCCAGCATCACAAGGATTTTATGAAACCTAAGCATCGGCGCTCCCAATTAAACAACCACCCACTGAGCCATTCTCTCCCCCACAAGATATAGTAATATGAATATGAATTGACCTTTATCGTTTATTGACTTATATGAAGACAAAGAATTATTAAGTTAATGAAAGGCTTCATTTGGGTCACCAGTCGGGGTCACCAGTTTGAAATAATGAATTTGAAATGATAGAAAATATCGCAATTCGCTATAATAATATACGCGGAAAAATTATTCATAAAATTATTTAATAATCCATTGAAGAGTTTTGCTTTTCAATCAATTTTCAAATTTTAAGTTTTCAAAACCTATTTTCTTCATGAATTTAGTGAAATTATAACAATTATTGACTCGCATTTTGCAACATAAATAGGCCTTTAATTTTTGACTTTTCAGCTTCAACAGGTTCGTCGAAATACAGATAAATTTGAAGTAAAAATTATTTCAACGGTTTCTTTCTCAAGATTCATTCTGCCAACTGATGAAGAAGTTTCATCTCGTTGGTTTTCGCATCCTCCTGCTAAACATATACCTGCTTTGCAATTTTTATCTACAGTTGCGATTCGAAAATTAATTCGAGAAAATATCAAGAACAGGCAACAAATTCGCATGCGTAGCGTTGTAAGGGTTTACCATATATTTTCCAGAATCGATTTAAAAATTTTAAAATTTAATTCCACCAGAGACAGCAAAATATTAAAAAGTAATTGGTTGAATTGTAGAGGCAGAAAGATTACGAGAAGAAAATTTAAAAAGATTTTTCGTTCTTTTATTCTTTATTAAAGTGATTTTAATTTTAGATTGGTGATTCGCCAGTTCCAGACAGACGTGGTCGGCCTAGCCTTGTGGTAATTCGTGGTGGTGAATTAAATGGGCCTCCACCATTTATTGCTGTTCTTCAAAATACACACGTAATAATTCCTATTCTTTCGATGTTTAACATTATTTTCATTTTTTGTTTGATGTTAAATTGTTAAGATGCCTCGGCGATTGGTGGAAAGGCATTTACGTCAACTATATGCATATGATCAACGATTGGGGCATAGAGAGAAGTTAAAATTTTCATATTTACGAATTTATCTAATTTCGAGCCTTTTGTTGAATCATGCAATAGAAAATGTTTTCGTTTTATATTTCAGCTATATTTATTTTGAAGTGAAATTTATTTTGAAGGTTCACTGATATATAGTATGTTTTTTATCTTTAGTTAATTAATCTTAATTTTCAATTATCGTCTGCTTATTTTCTGTGATTTTACAGTGGTGGAGGTGAAGGGCGTGGTCGGGAAGATCGAGATAGGCATGACACGAGATCTTATGATCGAGATTATCGGAAAAATAATGTTCTTAACCAAATTAGCACTTTGCCTAGCGGCATTGAGCCTCAGCTTGAGGGAGAGGAAGGAAACATTGGTGAAGTAAATATTGGAAGCGTTTCTAGCTTGGAAACTAGCAAAACCAAATGTGGTGTTATTGATACTCATGACAATAATATCAACGACAAAGGTGAAAGGTATGAATCAAATTTTAATGAAATTTCATAGTAGTAATGAAGTTATTGGTGGAATACAGGGAAATTAATTATTAATTATATTCAGATTTTAGCGAATATTTGTTTCGAAACAATATAATGCATCTAAATTTCTCATGTGATTTTCGTGTAATGTAATTTTTACTCAGCTTAAAATTTTATTAGCCTGTGCGTCGCAGAAGAAATTGGCAACGAGGAATGTTCTATTGACAGTGTTGTAAGTATGCCTTCAAGTTATAAGAGTGACGACCAGAATAAGAACAATAGCGAAAAGAATACATCGGTCGAAACAATTTTATATTCCAGCGGTAGCGAGAATACTCACAACTCATACGACAAAAATTTTGATATCGTAACTAAAGGCGTTGGTTATAATACCAAGAATGATGAAGATAGTTCAAATTCATTTGATAGCTCACATATGGATGATGCTATTTCACGTTCAAGGAAAAGAATGCGGTATACTTTCTCATTTTTTATCTCGCCTCTTCGCCCTGTTAAAAGCAATTATTAATTCCTTTAGAATTGGTCTAATATTTAATTTGTCTTGTAGTTTAGCGTGAAATAAATAAATTGGGAAGTGAACTTCCTTTCTGTGAGGGAAAAGGGAACTATAGCTGTTTGTATACTTTTAGGCATTCCAGTGATGGGAAATCACTCGTTGTGAAACGTGCTAAAGACTCGTTTGATGATATTTCTCATTCAAGTGATGCAGAGATGTCCTCGAATACTGGTCTTATAAGCAGCGGGATATCGCTTAATATCCTTCAGCATCCTTCTGAAGATAGTGATTCGCAAGCAACTCATATACTAGAAGAAACGAATAATAACGATGGTGTGGATAATACGCATGAAGAAACTGATCGAGAAGGCGGTATGAGTGCTAGCACTGATGAAGAAGATGATGAGGTAAAATCCAGATTTAAAGTATTCTGTTAGAATTTCTCTTAGGTCAGTGGTTTTATTCTTATCGATACTTCGATTTTTCGTTTTAGAAAAATTTTGTATATTAAACGAATAGCGATGTATCTGAATGGAAATAATGGAGAAAAGAATATGTGGAATTTCAGTTTTCAGTTTTTTATAACATACTATCGACCTTTCCTAATTCTTCTACCGACTATCCCTTTATAACATTATAATTCTTAGAATATGCGCCTTGAGCAAGAGGATGTTATAAGACACCAATTTAATGGTTGTTTATTAGCAACGAACTCATCGGTATCAGATGATATTCCACGCGATGTTAGTCTTACATATATACCTTGAAGGAAATTTTTTCTTTCGACCATTCCATTTTAAACTTGCAAAAAAAAAATTGTATTCATTATCCTCATGTAGACCGATTATAGAACATTGAAAAATAGATCTGAGGCCTTTCTCATTAAAGAAACTTTTAATAGGCCCCGTTTAGATTATAACACTGGTCATTTAAAATATATTGATATAAATATAAAATTTATTTATTTATGCATTTCGAACATTCCTTAATATTTCTTTTTATCTTGCAAAAAATTGATGTTTCAGGAGTCACTGCTAAGTTTTTCAAGCGAGGCCTCCGATGATGAACGAGATATTTCTACGCCAGAGGTTATTTATCATGTTCGCATTTTTTTTTTAATACCTAAATTTTAAGTGCCTTCCTGAGAAAAAATGTTGATTTTAGACGGAAAATGCAGAAGAGGAAAAGGAACGACGTGAATCTTGCAATCGCCAAAAAGCAGATATTGAAGAATTTGCAGCTGAATTTAATCGTTTGATCGATGATTTACCGTTAAGCAAAGGACTTAAAACATTTGTAAAACATTTCACTTAATTATAATAATTGTTATAATATTATATAGTAGGTGTGGGGATTGGCCAATTATTTTTGGGGATTGAAAACCATTTCAAATTTCCTAAGCTTTTCGCATATTTCCATTTTAACTTATACACTATTTACATACTATCTGGTTCATTTGTATGATCCATTCATCTTATTTTTATTTATTTTTGCGATCCAGGTAGATCTTTACTCGATTTTTTTTTAGCTCAGTGGTCTTCACTCATCAGACGCAAATTTTTATGCCCAATATTTTAAAACCCTATTTTAAAAAATTTGATTCTTTCGTTTTCATGATGAGTGAAACTCCCAATAATACTTGCGTATTATCTTAGACGTTTTGTTGTCGAATTTCATCTCTTTGAGTCGACAGTTCATTTTAAGTTTTTCTTTTTTCTCATTATCTCATTTTCTAAGAGATGTATAAGAGATATTTGTATTTATAATTTTTTCTTTGGTGAATGACTCTACTACTTTAATATAAGCTAATTATAAAAATAACCCTTAATTAAAAATGTTTTATTTGAAAAGTGATTTGAGTTTTGAACTTTTCAAAAAAGTCTTTGAATTTTTCAAAAAATATTATGGTCAAGTTTTTAAGAATCTTGCTGAGGCATTGCACTCTCTTGGTTTTTTTTTTTTTTTAAAGGCAATATCCAGGATTAAACTCGCTCCGCTGAATTAAATTAACGTGCCAGAGTCCCTTGACGACAGAAGTACAGGTGAGCCGCCTGTATCACTTTTTTTAATTAGTTCAATAAGCAATTTAAAACTTTCTATACTATTCCTATTTATTTTTCTGAAGGACTTATATATTCGGTATAGGCCTTTTTTTAGATGACTTAATCATATTGCATATCGGATCACCTTAGAATTAAAAAATAAATTGAAAAATTTTAAATTGAAAAATTGAAATTTTTTTATTCAGAGAAGAGCTTTTATAAATACAAACAAACGATAATATTTTATAATATTTTTTAAAAAATAAATCTAAAAGAAATATATAAAAATAAAAAAATAAAAATATGGTGGAATCAATTAGCTGGTGATGTGTTCTATCTTTTACCTGTATTTGATAATTAGTGATAATCACATCATATGGCTATTAATGATTAAACATGAATAAACACATATTAAACACATATTCAATAAATTGAAGATGTATTATTAAACAACTGTTGCAAACTACTCCATTCATTTTTGCCCTACTATAGGCATTCATATAATGGCAATACTAACAGTATTAAAAGTAATTTAGCAAATACCTATAGATATACATCGCACCAAAATAAAACAGTCTATCATGAAGAAGTAAATGGCTTTTTATATATCCTGACTTGATTTCGTGGAAGATGTAACATAATCGAAGACGAATGAAAGGCTAATATTTCATCTAGAATATCACAGAAATTTGTATGATTTTAGATAAAACGATAAACAATTTATATATAATTGGGCACTTCTTGCCCAGTAATAAGACGAAACATTAGCGTAGGCATAGTTTTCATATGAATTTCACCAACTGCAGTCGCGAGCATGTTTACAATCTTTTCATGCGGTACAGCCACGACACTATGCGAATTAATTTCAATGATTCGATGTCCTACACGGATTCCGCCACGCTCCGCAATACCGCCACGTAATAAACTACATATCTTCAAAAAAAATATTTCCGAAATTTTTAAAATATTGCATTTCATTGATTATCCATATAAAAAGCTAATAAATGTCCATGCAAAATGCATATTCTAATTCTATAAAGAAGGCAAATACATCATACTCATGAAAATATTGAAAACAAACAACATACCACTCCATTTTGTACACTGAATCCCAATTGATATTTTGTATCTGGTCGTTTAATGCGCACTTCAACAACAGGTGGAGTTGACACAACAGTTAATTTAACAGCAGTAGAATTCCTTGTGCCCTAAAACTCAAAAAATATATAAGCAAAGAAAATTAAAAAAATTCATGGCTCAGTGGATGCTCAAGAGTGCTAAGATTTTATATTTGTGCCGATGCTGAGGTTTTATATTTCCCTCAGGAGTAAGTCCTGGTGATGCTGGCGACTCATCTGGATTTCTATCGCCAAAGGATTCCCTGGCATATTTGTCCAGTATGATAAGGAGCGAGCCTAACCAGTAATAATAAAGGCCCTTCAAAAAAACTCAAAATAAGCAAAGAAAATAAATGAAATTTCAAAGATATTCTACCTTGATTGTTTGTTGAGCTGAAGCGAGTGGTAAACCGACCAGTGATATGCCATTAATTGCAATTATCTGAAAAAAAAAGTCGGTTTTTGAAAAATTTTTGAAAAAATTTGGAGAACAATCAGTGAACTGCAGAAATTTAAAACATTTGTTGAACCTGATCACCAATATTTAATTGATTCGATCGAGAAGCGGCACCATTTGGCTGTAAATTCGCAATAACGACGGTAGGCAACATTGATCCCCAACCCGATTCAACAACTACCACGCCAAGAGGTTCGCCTGCTTTTTTAGGTACGACTATATCTTTCTGAGTTTCTTTGCGCGCGAACATTTCCAATTCATCACCCATCAGTTCTTGAGAATTAAGAACTTCCTTAAAATATTCTACTGAAAAAATATTACTATTAGTGCTGAAGCATTTTGTATAATAATAGATATTCCTGAATATTCAAACAAAAAATAAACCTGATAATCAATTTCTCTCAAGTAAGACGGATCATCAATACCATTAGCGCGTAAAAATTCGACATAAGCAACTTGAAATGCTTGTCCTATCGATTGAGCAATAAATGATGCTTCATCCGATTCAAACACATGACAAATTATCCTCGGCGTTCTTCGAATGGAATCATATCTAAAATAAATCATAAATGATTAAACAAATGACACTGACGAAAAAAAATGGATCATTTTTCATTTTGACGATCATTTTTTTGAAGACGAATTGACTACAAACATCAAAGACTGAAAAAAAAAAACGGCTATCATTATATATTATAAAATTTTTCTACAATTTCTTTTACCCATCTGCTGAACAATTTTCAGTGCTTGCTGACTGCGACATACGCCGTGCCATTAGCACTACCAAATCACCGATATCAGCAATATAAGATATAGTTCGAAGAGCATGATCCATTAGAATATCCTGAAAATTCAAAAATGCTGAAATTAAGAACTATGCAAATTCAATGGTTAAACTGAGCAAAACACCACAACAGCAATTTACTACACTAATAACAGCTTTTGCTGCTAATTTTAAAGAAGCAATTGTAGCTAACAAAATAACGAACTAATTAACTAACTATTGCAGAATTTGAATTAATAAAATAGGAATTAACAAAATGAATCGTGTAACGATTAAGAACTATTATATTTTATGAGGAAAAAGCAAATCAAATATTAATAAGGCTTGTGAATGGTTAACTGCGTTAACATATTTTGCCAAACTTTTGAAAAAATCATTGTAAGAAATAATTAAAGAGATAAAGTCTGTAAAAAATTTGATTTGAAAATCTAATATCAGAAATATTTGTAACCAAAAACAATTGATTACTGGTAATTAAATAATCAAATTTGAAAGATTAAAAAATCCTTCCAATAAAAAAATACAAAATCTTCAGAGAGAACGAATATCAACTTTAGCTTAAAACTACGAGAATAACAAATGCGAGAAAACAAAGAACCCTTCGGGCAAGAATACACTATTTGCTAACTAAGAATCGTACCTCTGACATGGATGATTTAATAAAAAATATTATATTCAAACACAAATTTCTATGTTTTCTATATGTTAAGAAATGCTTACCTGTCGAACATCAGTTTCTGATATTCTCTGAAAAATTGAAACCTTAAGCAAAAACCTATCGAATCGAATCCAAAAAATTCCTACGATTTTGTTCTACATCTCTAATATTAGTTAACAATGCGATTTCTTGGCATTTCAGTAATATGGTTCGGTGAATTTTCAAAAAACGATATTTGTTACGATATTTACGATACGATACTTCACAAAGGTAAATTCAGATATATACATAAACATAAATAAATATTTAATATTTAAATATAAATATATATTTACTTGAAGATCGGTATTTAAAACCATGATTTTTTCAGTCGAAATAAACAAATCGATATCCGTACTAGGTTGAATTTCACCAGCAGGTGCCTAAAAAATTTCTTAAATATTATTTAAAAGCAATATCATTTAATTAAAAAATACAGTAACAAAATGAACAAATCGTTAAATCATGATTTAAATAAAATATTCATACATAAAATAAAACCTATTGCCACTAACCTTAACTCGCGCAACAGCTTCCTGTGCTTGCATCATTCTACTAGACTTTGTTGGTCGCCCTTCGCAAATTAATTGTGTTGACCCAAGATACCTTGCTCGAAAGAGAACGCCTTCGATCAGAACTGCGGGTTCATGAACGATTACTGGAATGAAATTTTAACGTTAAATACCATATAAATTTCAAATTCGATAACAAATGGCAAAAAGAGTGTCAGATAAACAATGTCCGAAGCAATAAGCAAGATCATCTTTCCCTTCTTTTTTCCTTCCAACTAAAACTGAATACGCTATTAAGAAAATTCATAACCCCTTTTTATTTCAAACAAATATTTATTTTTAAATTCTTAGAAAATATCATGAAATGAAAAAATTAAGATGGGTCTCACTCGAATTTATCGAAATACAAAAAGAAAAAAAACCAATCATAGAGGACGGTCCCAATATGAAAAATTTAAACCAACAAAGTTTAAAAAGAAAACAGAGTCATAAATTCCTGTTGCAACAATCTAATATCTTTTTCTTATTACATAATTTATAGCATAAAATCTTTTCAAAGAAAATCATTATTATTTAATGTTAAAAAAGCATTTATAATGGAACAAAAAAGCAAAAAAAAAAAATTTCCGCCAAGCAAAATAATTCTAGCAAATATGAACCTTCTGAACAGAAACAATAAAATTCTGCGGACCTTAAATATTATAGTCAGGTAAATCGAAATGCAAAATTTATTATTTTCCTTATTTATATATGGCGCAATCAATCTTGACATTAAGCTATAACAAAGCATGCTATGATTCGACGAAAGCTTACCACAATGACTGTTTGGAAACACAACTTTTCTCAGCACCATCAATACAGCATTCAAATGGCTCGATATTAAAAAAAAAACTTGGGTACTGGTAGTTTCGAAAAAAATTTTTTCATTTAACCAAATTTTTTCATTTATTAACTCAGTTAAACAATTGTTATCACAATTAACCTCGGTATGAATATAAATACCTGTTTCGTTAAATGATGAATCCACAGATACTACATTTATGCACAAATAATTCTTTAAAATAACTTTTTAATGGAAACTGGAAAATTGAGAGGAAAAATTCCCTCAAAAGGTTGTTGGAAACCATTACTATGACGGAAAATATATTTTAGTCTTATAAATGTCGAAGATAATTTATCAAAAAATAAATTTTAAAAATGTGTCCATCATATAAAATGGTGGGAAAAAATATTGAGCCATCAATGCTGAATGTGATATACCTGGTAAACAAAAAGAAAGCTGACAGACCTTCCTTTTTGGCCGCCTTCTTTGAACGATTCTCAATATCACCATTCGAGTCCGACTTTGCTAAAAGCCTATCGGTTTCATCCAAAACATCATCGGAAATCGATTCAGGCTCTGAATTAAAAAATTCTACTGGACTCCTTAGAAAGAAAAATTACCTTACGAATCAAACTATTTTAAACAAATAAAAAACTGTGAAAGCAAACTAGAGGAAAATGATAATTAAATAAACTCAAAGATCGAAAGCAAAATAATTTTCAAGAATGATTAAATGAGAATGAGCTTTAATTTGATTTAAGACATACCTTGACCTCTAGTTCCAGCATCATAAGTCTGATTATTGCGATCTTCTTCTCGCTGCATTCGCTTCAAATATGAATCCCTAAAAATTTAAAAAAAAAAATAATGGAAGTGAAAAAAAAACTAAGGATGTTTATATGGTGATTGAAAAATCGCATTTCGTGTGTCCAGTCGCTATAGAAGAAATAACAAAAGTATTCATAAGAGAACCAGGACCTCATAACCCATATAGGTTCTTTTTGTTTCTCCGATCGATTGTTTTCAATCACTTCCTGGGCATTTTCTTCAGCTTCATGATTAGATTCACCGGGCCAATCATGCTTATCATTCTACAATTTGTAAAATGTCATAATGCTTAATAAGAATGCATAAATAAAAGTTTGAACTGTAGTACCGAAATGTTGGAATCATGTGAAGCTGTACAATTACTATGACTGCTGGATGGAGCTGATGTAGCTTGTGAAGCAGAGAGTGCTGGATCAACTTGTACATTTCTTGCACGATTCGTAATAGGTGATAAACCATCCATATGTGAAACAGATGATTGCGAAAACGATGGATCAGCTGCTTCAGAGGAAGCACTTTGATATAAATCCATTTTTTGACCCTGCTGAAACTGTTGAAGCAATGCGGCAGCAAGCTGAAAAAAATAATTGATAAAATACTTAAAAATTCCTTATCAGTGACAATTAAAAAATAATCCTGAAAAATTATAATTTAAAAACATTGAACGGCACCTGAGGGGAAATTGACTGCTGAGGACCAGAAAAAAAGAGCGAATGAGGTGCTGGAAAATATGGTTGATAGTGATTAGCAAAAGAAGGACCATATGGTACGGCTTGTGGCATTTGATGAATTACTGGTTGGAAAGGTACTGTTGAATTATTCATTGTATGTGCAACATAATTTAAATTATTCGAAAAGGGAGAAGTCGAAATTTGTTGTGAAGTCACATTTTGATATTTTTGTATTTCATCTGATGACGCTGCAGGCAACTGCGACAATCCATAAGCATCTTTCAACTGATTCAGCGATGACCGTACCGGTTCGGACGATCGACCTGCCTCTGTCGCATTAAACGGTAAAGCTGCCTGAAAAAAATTCTCTTTTTCACCTTATATTGCCATCGATAATGTTAAGCAATATTAATAAACAATAAACAAACAGTTGAACGAATAAAATAACCCGATATTATTTCAGGTGGTTTATTCAACAAGTATAAGTATTATTCTTTAAAATAATTTTGATTTAAAACATGCAATAAAAAAGAATTTTTGCATGCAACCGATGATTCTGGAAGAAATAATGCATGGAAAATCGCATTATTTTTCACATATTCCTTATCAGCCAAATGAAACGATACAAAACAATAAGCAAAACAAAACATATCCAGGCATCACGGCAATTTAACCTGATTTATGAAAGAAGAGGGATATGATGGATGCGAAAAATCAGCCAAAGATTCACTTGCCGAGCTCAATAACTGAGCCAACTCTTTCTCATCTATCTGAAAATTCAACAATAGTCCTAGGCCAGATGTTCGCTGGATTTTGCGCATATATCTCATAAAAACATTTAATTTCGAAGTTTCGATGTTACTCAAAATCGAATCAAATCTGATTAGTTTTGACTTTGATTTCAAAAAATTTAATGCAGCTCTTATACTTCCCTTTCATCTCTATAACTATCATTATATCTTTTCTCATCTCCTTTTTTCATTTCATTTACTATTCATCGATTTTGTTCCATAATTTTCTAACTTTTCATCAAGCTTTATCACTTCCATATTTTCAATTTGAATCCAAGAAAGACAATGTCTCATGATCGAAACAATTATTCTTTATTGTCCATTCAACCACCAAATAATAACATTGAAAGAATATAAAAGAAGAAATACCCTTTCATACCCTTTCATAAGATAAGATAAGCACTAATCGTAAAGCAGTCAATTTAATGCTCAACCATCAAAATTCGTTTCTGTAACCTAGTAATCACAACCAGCGATTCTTAGAAGCGCAAGAGAATCAGGGATTTATTATAAATTTCTTTTTTACTCAAGAAAAATGACACAGCTTATGGAAATTCATATAAAACTTTTAACCATAATATTACACATTAGTTGCAGAAAATTTATGGCTTTTTTTTAGCCATCAACCATAAAATAATTTGTTTTCGAGCCATTAATCCTAAATCGAAAAAAGGAAAAAAACAAAAACTCCGAAAAAATCTTGCTTAAACCTAGTAAAAATCTAGTAAAAAATAATAGCAAAAACTTTTAAACGATTTATATCAAAATAAAATATATAAAAGAAAAAATAATTCAATAATAATTCTAGTAAACAGCCAACGCAAAATTATAACTGGACTTTTTGAAACCGATAAACCTATTCGATCTCAAGAAATATGATAATAAATACGAATGATCTTGAAAAATAAATCAATACTATCATGAAATTTGGAAAAAAAACATGAGAAATTCAAAATCGAAACTCGAAAAAACCAATAATTTGAGAAAATTAAAAGTCAAATAATTTCTCTCTCGGATTAATTTAAATAAATTAATCCATTTTTGAATTGAAAATGTGCAAACCTTCCTAATATTTTTATTTTGAATTCGTCGATTAATCTCCTTATCAATTTCGCTCATTTGTTTCTTTATAAGTACGGATGTTCGACAATCACCACCAAGCACAAATGAACTCTCCAATGAATGTCGTCGAGAACCATGATTCTTCCCTTTTACAGTAGTGTCTTCTTGAAGTGCTGAATCATCGCAGGAATTCATTTCCGCTTTGGAATCATCGACAATTTGTTTGCTAGGCTCATCTCCTACTAAATCATTACTTGAACAAGCTGACATCTCACTTTCCACTCTTAATTCCATTTCACCACTAAAATCTTTTTCCTGAAAATCATAATAATAAATGAATCATAATAAAGACAAATTAAAAAATTTCAAAGGCTAAATAAAAATATTTTGTAAACGGTTCAAGTGATAATCAAGACGTGATTTTGATAATTAAAACAAATATTGTCAAAAAAAGAAATTTTCCTACTGATTTATTTTGTTTTTCGGAAAAATCTCGTTTCCCTTCAAGCCGATCTTGATTATCCTCCAATTCTGTAATGAATATCTGGTTTGCGAGAAAGAAAAATATTTCGAAAAATAATATATATTAAAAATTTTATCAAAAAATTATGCCCAAAATTAAAATCCCTTCAATTTTTCCACATTTAAGCCAAATAAATTATTTATGTGATCACATATATAAACCACGCCAAAAACTGATCAATAAAATTTTTCACTTAATCCGAAATAATTAAAGATTTAATCCTAGATTTTACATTTACAGAATTAGATTTTATATATTATATCATTTTAAATCCATATTTCACCTACTGAATATTACATGCTCATAAAATAAATTTTATAAATATAATTTTATAGACTACAGATTTTGACGAAATTAATATATAAAAATTGGAAAAATTATATCCAACTCAGTAAGCCGAAATAGTATTTTTTCCTCATCCCATATTATTAAATTTAAATTTAAATTTAAAAAATTAAATTAAATTTTATTAAATTTAAAAAAAAAGCATTATGCAATTCTAAGATAATAATCAGGAGAGAAATATAAGTTAGACTGAGTGATATAAGCTGCAGATGAGGATCCCTCATTAAAAGTGAGTCCAATTAATTCTTTTCTACACATCTGTCCTCAATTAACTTTGCCAATGAATTAAATTCTAATAGTCAATGTAGAAACCATAAAAATAGCAAGTTCAAAAAGTAGCAAAAAAAAGAAAGATAAAAAGGGAAAAAACACGGATAAAGGATATGATAGAGAAATAATATAAATAAAGTAGAGATAAAGAATATATAAAAACAAATGCAGGATCAAATAAATTAAAGAATAAAAAGTGGAATATTCATTTTAGAATATCCCAGTTATCGCTAAAAATATTTAAAAAAAACTTAAAACTTAAATTTGACTAGTAAAATCCGCTTGATGCCAGCTGTGTTATTTATAAATTATATTTGAAGAACATATATGAAAAATTCTGTTGAGTCTTAATAAGAATAAGAGCCAATTGACACAAAAGGAAAAGAGATGCGAATTTCAAATTGTTGGTTTGATATTGGATGTGTGAAACCTTTTTCATGATTGACTTTTTATTAAATTTTCTATCCTCAACATAGCAAAAAAAAATGAGAGCTCTGCATTTTGCTTAATAGAATCCAATTTAATTACAGAATCGACTAACCCACTGCTGAAATGGTATCGACGGAATTTGCAGTGCTATCTCGATTTTCAAAAGTTTCAGCTGATGTGACAGCTTTTAAAGAAGCCTTTTGATGAGCAACTGTTTCTATTGAATAATCAGCACTTCTTGCCCTCTATAAAAGTTCTTGAAACATGAAGTACGCAAAGAATTTGAAAAAATTTTAAAAAACATCTAAAAAATTGATGCGATATATGCAATACACATGATTTTAATTGAATTTTAATTGAATAATGAAAGTACTAATGAAATAAAAAAATTAAAACACCAACATCGTCACCGTTTGAAGAGATGTCATTAATTTCAGGCAACTGATCACCCTTTAAAGATTTACGCTTGTTTAATTCAACATCATTAACGCCATTTTCTGCAGTACTAATGTTTAATTGATACATTCCTTGTACCACTGGAGTTATCGAATTCAAAACGTTATCCAAATTTGAACCATTCGTCCCATTTTTTGAAGGCGTCGTTTTAGCTGCTTTATCAAAACACTAAACAAAGCCATTGAGCAAACTTTTAATAATCTATCTGATGATAAAATAATGTTCACAGATAAGACAAAAAAAATACAAATGAACGCTTTAAAATCGAAAACTCAGACTATAATGTTTAAATAGATCAATTATATTGACTATCGCCAATCATGAATTTTCAAACTTATTGCTATTTTCAATAACACCCTATAATACTGACGGCCGGCCTTATGAATCAAAAATCCTAAGCAAAAAACAGTCTCTTTTTCAAAATTTTTTTTCAAAACCAAGCAGCTATTGTAATCAATCCAAACAATTTCCTCAAGAAAATAAAATCATAAAGAATTTGGCCGTTACCAAATTACCAAACTTATCAATCATTTGACGATAAAAAAAAAAAAAAATAAACAAAGAACCTGATTGAATGATGATGAATCCACACTGTTATATGTGGGTAAACGTGAGGCAGCAGCAATTAAATTCTGTATATATTGCTGCATGAATTCTTGATAATGCATATTACTTAAAAGACAATTATCAGCTGATGATAAAGGGTTGATTCGATAGTCACCAGATGCAACCAAATTTTGCTGCTGTGATAACGATGATGATGGTGCTGGTGGAGGCGGTGGCAGTACTTGTTGATTTAAGATTGGTCCATGTTGCTGTTGTGGCATAAATGGTGTCATAAACGGATTAGCAAAAAATGATGGCATATTACATGGAAGACCTAAATGAAACTAAAGTGAAAAGACTCAAAAACTTGAAAAAATTTAATTGAATTTAATTTAATTGAATTTTATTTCAAATGAAATTCAGATCCAACTTAAATCAAACAATTCAAGTTTGCCTAGATTATTTCATAAAATAAACAAATGAAAACAAGAGAAGGAAAAGTGATTAAAGGAAAATTTAACAAAAGGTTGAAAAAAAAAGTTGTGTGTGCTATTTTTCATTTTCAACAGTTTTCTGATTAAATTATGCTGTATCGAAATAAATTTTAAAATATTTTTGAATATAGTTAGAAGCAGAAATAGAATTTTTAAAAGAATTTTATATTAATATATTTTATATTAATTTTATATTTTATTTTAATATTAATATTAATAAAATTTTTTAAAGCAACAAACGCAAAAATATCCTAAAATAAAGTATGCAAATTTAAACCACAAGCCTAATGGAATTGATAAAAGAACATAAAACGATCATCAAAACGCTAATTTTTTTCCAAATCGTATTCCCACGGGTATTTTCTCCGTTTTCCACATGCAACTTCACTAAACTAAGACAAACATAAATTCATGCCATTATCATAAAAACTAATTCAAATATAAAATTTATTACTAATAAATTTCATTCACCCCAATTTCCGTAAAATTTTTTTCATTCTTTCCGCATTAGTAATATTACCAACAATGATGTTTTACAGTGAAAGAAAGGCGAATTTGCAAAAAAACAAAAATTGAAAACCACGGAAATTTGTGATGTCAGGAAAATTTGACTGAGCAGCTGATGATAGCGATGAAGCTAAATTACTATGGTCCGATGAACTCATAATACCGGATTCAGCGCTTTCAGCGTTCATCTAAAAGACGATAAATTGCCACAATGTTTTGCAAATAAGATGATAAGAGGAAAATCGCAAAAAAATTCAATAAAAATATTAAATAAGAAAATAATTTTTGAGTAAAGAATAAAAAAATAAAACTTGCACAAGAACAAGTTTTGTGAAGCTCTCGCCGCGAACAAAATTAATTTTAGCATCGCCGCCTCTTTTCTATTAGCATTTGCCATTCTTGGTTTAAGTGAGTCGCTTTAGCGACTATAAAGTTATTAGAGAAATAGAGGTACAAATGACCTTCAAAAATGGCAAACTCATATTTTACTTTAATGGCAAATGGCAAAAATTTATTTCAGCCGAGAGAGAATTCACAAATCGATGATAATGATAATGATAATCCCAGCCGATATAGTAATATTTTACTTTATGGCAAATGGCAAAAATTTATTTCAGCCGAGAGAGAATTCACAAATCGATGATAATGATAATGATAATCCCAGCCGATATAGTAATATTTTATTATCAATTCAATTATCATCTTTTTATCATATAATAAAAAGTGAATTCGACGAAACGTGATAGAAGATGATGAAAAAATTAAAGCAACAATTTCCTTTCCTAATTCTTTTTCGCCTTTTTCCATGCATTTTTCAAAAATAAGAATGAAGAAAGAATTAGAAGAAGAAAGACAGAGAATAAAAAGAAACAAATAAAAAATAGGAGGAGAGAATTTTCGTAATAATCGCGTAATAGAAGAGTCATACAAATGAAAGAAATGAAAAAAAAAACGAAGAAAAAAAAAAGAACGGGCAAAATTCAAAAAATAAGCGTATAAAGCGTCGTGTAAATGGAATCCCTTCTACTCGTTTCAAATATTTATCGCTAAATTTTATAGGAAAATAAATACGAGGACCGCGCAAAACGAATCCCAAACGCGATCAAATAATCGCTTAAAATATGCAAAATATGTATTACATTAATCATTTTGAAGCGGAGATGAACTGAGCCAAGCAGCATTAGCAATTAGCCGAACATCGATCAATAAGTAAACCAACTAAATTTTTGCCTCATTTATTTTCCTCGACATCTTCTACAACTTTCCACGATTAACCTCTCACGCCATGAAAGCCCTTATTAAAAAATTTTAACCAATTTCCTCTCAAAATTTTACCCTCCCCTCTAGTAAAAGTTCCATAATCTCTTCTTCCTACCAGGACGATATTTTTTGAAATACAGCACAATAATGCGAATATAACAGCGCAATATTTACATAAGTTCAATTGCTCGCATAGTTAGGCCTTATATGCCTATAAATCTATTATGAATGGGATAGAATAAGGTGAGTGCAATAAGCACAATTTATGCTATGGAGTACATTCTTAGTCATGCGATCAATTGACAGGCGTGCAATTGGCCGCCGCCATTTCACTAAAAAATTTAACGAATATTATTTTGACTAAATAAGAATAATGTAAATTTGGATGAAATGTAGGAATGATAGCCGCGTGATTAGTTTATCAGATTGAAAGATTCGATTTCTGTTCGCCGATAAATTTTTATTCAAATATTTTATTCAAAAGTGATCCGAGTGATAGCGAAAATTTCTACTTTTAATCTTGTCAAATGTCAATTTTCTAATAAAAATTTCTACGAAGCAACGAAGCGAACCTAATAATAAAGTGGTGAGTACCATTTATTTTATGAATAAAAATATGACCTTTGAACCGAAATTTAAATAATTTATTTTATAAAAATTGATTTTAAAAAATTTAATAAATCGTTTTTATGATAATTTTTACTCACTAAAATAAAAAAATACAAAAATACAAAAATTTAATTTTTTTTTTGAAAAAAATCATTGATTATTTTAAATTTTTATTTTAAAAAATAATTATTCATTAAAATTTTTTAAATTTTAAAAATAAAAAAAAAGAAAAAAAAATTTTCAGACGAAAAATTGTTTGTTTGTCATTGAAAAATAATAGCATAGGAATAAAAAAAGAAAAAGCAAATATTTGACGAAAAGCATTCGAAAGTGAACTCGAAATTTGCACTAAACATATGCAATTAACTAATTTTCAATTAACGATTATTGTAATTCTAATATAAGGAAAAGGAATAGAAAAAAGAAAAAATAAATAAATAAAGAAGGAATGAGAAAAAGGAAATGAATGAGGAAAAAGGGAAGCGAAAAAACAAGGTGATAAAAAAATTAGAAGGAAATGTTTTATAGCCCTTTAGATTTCGTAGTTTAATTTAACAACAAATTTTCATTTTCTCCTTCCTCTAACAAAACAAAAGATTATTCGTAGTTCGGTAAGTTCCATTGATTATCGCTGATTTGCGGGGAATAGAGGAGGAGTGGAGGTGAATTTCGGTACCCACTTTGGAA